TTTCACCTTAACGTTCCATAAAACATTTTACTCTCAACCTCTTTTTGGTGTTGCGAACCATTTAATAAAGTTTATGTATCCGATGACTTTGCTCTTCTCCACACGAGAACTCTTGGCCAAACTGAGCACATACTTGTACATGTGTGGAAAAAAGGCGAGCGACAGCCACGTTTATTTAGCTTTATGGTCCTGGCCCATTAAGCATACGACACGTGTGCGCCGAGTGCTTTAAATTCAACAAAATTCGCATTTAATTTGATTTGCCCACGATCGCGTTTCGTCGGCACGGCAACTCATTTGTGTATGAAGTCGTTTTTTCTTTGTCAAAGGCAAAAAGTCAAGCGACAAAGAGGATAATTTACAAACTGCATAAGTGCAAAACGCTGCCCGTTGTCGCAAAGCACAAAGGTTTATTTTAGTTCGTATTTCTTTTTGTATGCTGGTTGCGTGTTCCTGCTGGCCACCGCGTTTTAGCCTCCGCATTTAAAATTAATTAAAACTAATAACATTTTCGAGCACTTACTTCCACACACATGCACAAAACACACACACACACACACACACAGGAGCCTCGAGTGACGCCATTTTGTCGTGCATTGCATAATTAAAGGGCGCGCAAATGGCAGGCCATTTCCGGTTCTCCGCCGGTCGAATCTGCCTCAGTTTAAGGCACCTGTGATACATTTAAAAAGTCAAGTTTGCCTCTGTTTCCCTCTCACCTCGCAATGCTGTCCATATAAAAAGTTTTAATTCGAAACGGAAACGCGAGAGCCACGGCCAACTGGCCATTACCTTGGCTACTTGCTTCTGGCCATTGTCCTTATCCCCAGGATTCAGGATCCAACAGCCAACATCCAACTGCCAGTCGACTCCAGACGGTCCGACAAATCATATTTAGCTTGGTAATTATTTATATTCGCATTTGCTGGCCGGCACAGAGCGTCATTAGAATCGTAAATCTAATGGACAAGCCGGTGCTGCCAACGACCAACGCGACTGTTCTGCGGTACAAAATGATTTGAATTATGGCACATTTCACTGGAAAACGAAAGAGTGGGCAGCAATTTTCTCTAGTGGATTTTCCACCAGCTGCGCTGCTTGGAATTGCGTGACCAATTTGATAACAAATTTAAAGTAGCTTTAAATAGCCTTGTAATGACCCAAACAAATATACTCGTAAATAACAATCAGTAGTTTTAAACTCTACGGATATAATTAGCATTTTTACATGCCCCCAACAAATGTTAGTAATAAATTAAACCAACAAACTTTTTCCAACTAATTAATCATTTAGTTTACATTAAATCTATTGGACTTTCAAACTTTTCAAAGCGGATTTATTTGTCAGTTGTGCCAATAAAAAAGACATTAGTGTAATCAATTCGTAAATATTTAACAAACTTTTTTCCAACTTTTTATTGATAAATCCACGAGCTAAATTCAAATCAGGGATCATACATGTACATTAAATTGTTTAGCATATGTAAGTTGGGCTTGTATTTATGAAAACTAATTAGCTACTGAAAACAATTCGTAGCTCCAGTTGTTTGCGAATTAGTCAGACCTTTTTGGCCAAGCTAAATCCGGGGCATTGGACGTCAGACCAGGACACAGACCAATTGCATTAGCTGTAAGCTTTTGAAAAATGCGAATTATTTGCCTGTTGTCTGTCGGCTGCCCCATGGCAACATCAAAGGACGAAAGCGGGATTCTGAAAATGTTATCTCTCCTTTGATATCTAATAAGCCATCGCTGGTCGGTGCTTTTGCCGGTGGAGCAGGTGTTCGATCTGGCCGAAAAGGTCACACGGCCAACGGGCCAAAATGAGGACTCCACCCACGCGAGTAATCCACCCACGAGAAGTCCACCCACGAGGACTCCCATCCAGGACGAAGGACGCAGCTGATTTACATCAGTTTAATTAGTTGCTTATTTGCATAAGCCCGCAGAGCGAGAGAAATGGGTTCGCATCGGGGGTTGGGTCATTCGGAAGCATGCGTAACGCTATTTGTTTAGGCCGTGTTAGGGTTTTTAATCATATTTTAACCAAAAACTGTTCCGCCACACAACAAAGGACGTCGGCTTATCCGGGACTTTGCACCGCTTTCATGGTCACTGTGAATTTATGGCCATCAGAGTTAGCACTTTTTGGCAGCCCATTGTTGTTATTGTTGCCGCTTTTGCTGCTCCTGCTGTGGCTCCTGCCCTAATGGCTTATTATGATTATTAATTCATAACGCAGCCGTGCTGGTCGTGTAGCTACAACTATTACTACACCAGCCACTTGGGCACTTGAACATGCGACGGCGAACACTTTCGTTGCCACATCTCGACTCACAACCGAGTGTATATGCGATCCTGACATGCCAACAGATGGCACATTAAACATGAGCACGGCTACACGGCAAAAACAATACTAATCTCTGGGGAAAAGTGTTTAAATACAACTTTTTCAAGAATTTTATTCACTTGGCACTTTGAAAGCATCATAAAACTGAAAGGTTCCTTAACAAAAAAAGTATTCACGAGTTTGATATTTTGGTCATAAAACGAATGAATGTTTAACAAGAAGTTTAAGGGAGTCTTACGGTTTTTGGGACGGATACCTACTTGGTAACTTGAAGTGTTTGCTGGTGTTGTACATTTTGTTTCTTTGAAATTGAAGGTAAAGCATGAAATTAAGCTTTACTTTAATCCGCCACACATTCCACATCTATTTGGGGATATCGTACGTAAAATGAGGAGCAAACTGCCAAATTGAGAGTTTTATAAAAGCAATTTTTTTCCAGTGGGTCGGAGCGAATTGGGATGCCAAAAAGCAGCGTGCTGTTGCTTTTTGACGGTGGAAGCAGACTTTATGCGTCAACCAGGCCAATAAAACATGTCCCCGGCTGCGGGGCTGTGGTCCGCGGTTAGTTCGACATTCTAGTGCCGGTTGGCTGTGTTTTCGTGCCCCCGGGAGTATGCAACAGTTTTGGTTGGCCTCGGTTTTCGGTTTTGGGTTTTCGGTTTCGTTTCCGCTTCCTGCCTGTTTTGATGGCCCCTTGACTAGGCACTTGCTTTCTGGCAGCTGTTTGTCGTTCGCCGATTTTGTGGCGCTAATAAAGCTGGCACGCACTTCGCTCTGATCCTGATGCCTGATGCCTGGCTGCAGATAAAATTATAATTAAAAAGTGTTGTCCCCGGTGCGGCAGGCAACATAATTTACACAGAAACCAAAGTCCTGTTTGGATTTTTATGGGCTCTGCGTGACTCCTTTACCGACACATCACGTCACATTATCGTACTTGTCTACAATTGAGGTCACGATAATAGGTATGAAAATTTGAATAATTATTTTATTTTTCATGGAATATTTCTCACTTATACTTGAGTGTTGGTATCGTGAAATTTAAGTGTAACAAACTAAAAAGCAAATCATCTCTTTTAAGAACAGGATTTCCTTTTAAATAACAATTATACTTAATTATAATTATTGAATTTATTTAAACAATAAAGCTTATTGGAAACCCAACTTTGGGTGATATTTTGACCGCATTTGTACGCACCCATGTGCTGAGTTTGTTTTATGTGTCAGCACATCTTGGCCGTGTTTTATGGCTCTCGCCTGCCAGTGGCACGTTAATATTAAGCAACCGGCTAAAAGAAGAGCAGCGGGGCACCAAATAGTCCGAAAATCCCGAGAGTGTGGATGGAGGCAGGGACCTCAAACTTAATTTGCTAACCGGGCTTCGACTTACGTTTGATTGCCGATTTAATTGGATTGCCAACTTTCACATACATGTGCGTCATTTACATAATTTGGTTGCAGGGAAGGGACATTTAATTAGGCGATATTGTTCAGTTCGAAATTAATCAAATTAGTAGCGACGGGGGTTAAGTTTATGCCTTTGGAAGCAGATGTCGGTTGAACCTTTCGATCCCGGTTTACAGAACAAAGTTTCAGCTTACACAATATTTCAAGCAAATTTACTTACATGAACCCCAAAACAAATAAGCTATGATTATTCACTAGAAAACATTCATTCTTAGTGCTAGATAGTAGCAAAACTACTCGCTTGAAGTTAATTAGAAACTTCGACCGCTTTATTCCCATGCCAAAAAAACCTCAAACTGCATATGACAAACAAATATCAAGATATCTGCATTCATGCTTTTAATTTACCTCCATTCTGCTGCAACAAATTTAATTGATTTATTGTGCCATGGCTTATCACTTTAATTCACTTACAAATGTGTTGCGCACGTGAAAAATGTTGCCTTAACCAATCAATCTAACCTAAATTAACCAAAATTCAATTCGAAAATCGATTAAATTGCTACTAAATCAACTAATGACAACTTTTTGTGTGCTCTTTTTATTCTTTGTCTCTTTCCATTCAATTACACATACATCACGCACTCAAACACACAATCACACCCTAAAAACCCAACACACGCTTGCCGCTTTCGCTGTCTCTCTCTCTCTCTATCTATCTATTTATCTCTCTCTTACTGTCGCAAAATGTCATGTGAACTTTTGTAACGTGTTTTCGTTTCTTAACCAACCATCTAACCAAATTGCCTATGCGTCTGTCACGTAATTATGTTACTAACCCGGAACCCACCCAAAACCCCTAAACCGACCAACTGAAAATACAACACCACCACTACAATTGTAACAACCACTTCAACAATGTCAACCACTGTTTCAACTCACGCAACCATCGCTTCCACTACGAAAATGTACGCAAACACTGCAACAAACATTTCACTGTAATTACAACACTCTCAACACTTTCAAAACAATTTATATGCTTTCCCAAAAATAATTTCAACAATAAAATTACAATTAAATTTCAACAACAATCCCCAACAATCATTGTAATTACAACACTCAACCACGACATTAATAATAATTAATCAATGACTCCAAAAAACCACACAAAATGTCTTCAACAACTTAACCAACAACTCGAAACGAATTAACAACAACTCCAACCGAATTTCAACAACAACAGGCTATTGCGCGCCGAATTGTATGCTTTGAGGCGCAAGGGTGCGGCCAAGGTCGTTGGTGGAGTGCAGCAACTCGATGCCACACTACAACAACAACAACAACAACCACAGACAACCATGCAGGCCAATGAACAACAACAGCTCGAACAACACAACAACCACAACGCACACACGAGTGGCGACCCGAGTCGCCACTGCGCCCGCTGCACCACCGAATTGGGTCGCATCACCAACCGAGGCGCCCCATGTCGCGTCTGCAAGTTGCGCGTGTGCAAAGCCTGTCGCGAATTCACATCGCGCACCACGGACTGGGTGTGCGTGGTGTGCCACAAGCAAATGTAAGTGCCTCTCTCTCTCTATCTCGCTCGCTTTCTCTGTCTGTCTCTATCATTTCCTCTGTCTGTCTGACTGTCCCTTTCTCTGTCAATAAATGTCTGTCCAAGTTTCATTGTTTACTAAAAAAAAAGATAAAGAAATACTCACAAAACTCAGTGGATGCGGCCAAAACCATTCAACTCACGCACACGAAAACTAACCCGAAACAACAAAACACTACATTGTGTCCTTGCGCTTGTGTTGGGGCATGTTTGATTGTTTATGTGGTGGTGCAGTACCCTGTGAAGGTCCTTTTAAGGGGCTACAAGCCCGGGGATTTAGAATAGTAAATTTAATATTACTGAAATGCCAAGAATCCTTGGGGATTATATTAGGGAACAAGCCTACTGATATTTAAAACTTCCAAAGGAAGGCAATGTACTGTTTTCCAACTTTAGTTTTATTAAGTTTGTTTGCTTTAAGGATGTATTTTTTAAGAACGAGTTATGAAAAGGTGTCTTTCCTATATGTTTGTGTATTTTCATTTTATAACAATCAAAAAATCAATTTTATATCTACATGTTGTTATGTCCTTGCTGTTCTGTTACATTATTCTTAAGAAATCCTTAGTATGTAATTTATTTTAGGGGTATCTCCAGTTCCAGTTCACCCCGTTTGCGAATTGTTTTTCCATTTCTTCTCGTTGAACTTTGTAGCACATACGCTGCAATTTCCAACGTTGCAATCTTATTTTGCATGCTCTTTCGGTTGCTTTGTGTCGTCAAAATTGTCACCCAGAGCCTTTTGGGTGCAGATGAAAAAACAATGTGGTATTGCACACAAAAGTGCAAAACTACCTCTTGCAATGTGCTCAAATTAATTTCAGGAAAAGATTTATGCGAATTTAAAGGTGATGGTAGCGGTTCTCTTGTTTGTCTTTCATTTAAACCCACCACTGCCCGTGGGGTATCAGGTATCACCGGGTGAGACGCCGCAGATTTTTGGTTCATACTTCGGTTGCTCTTGCAGTTTTGCATATTTGAAACGGTTTGCTTTCGGCCGGTTATGTTTGCCTTGCAGTTTTTGATTGCCCATTTGGGATGCAAAGCGTTTTAAACCCGCACACGTGTTTGCCAACAGCAAGTTCATTTCAAAATTCAGTTTGCATGTGTGTCCGTCCCCCTAGTTTCAGTTATGATCCACCGTTTCTCCCCCATTTTCTGTGTGAGCCGTACAAATAGTTTCGTAATTAAGCATAACTTTTGGTGCCCGAAAAGGGATTTCCATGGTGTATTAAATAACCCAGGCAACTGGGCAACTCAAAGGATTGCGAAAATGTCGGACCGAAAACGAAGCCCAAGATGAAATACCCAAACGTGTTCATTTAACCAAAAAGCAAACTGTCAACAAGTGTTCGGGCCGTTTAATGAGCTGCACTATGTGTTCTGTGCCCAATTTTGCATCAGCATCAACATGAGCAGCCACCCCACACGTTGCACATACGCCCTGTGTGTCACCACAGCATCAGTTCGGTTTGTGCCAACATTTGGCAACACAACAATTGCCTCTGATGAGACACAGAGGCGACCCACACTCGAAAGGTTCAGTGTTAATGGGCGAGCCCGGGTCCCAAAAAAAAAAAAACAAAATACACAGCACCCCAGCTGAGAAATGCCCGTATTGAGTTCGCAAGGCCACAGACACAGACATTTGAGTAATTAAATCTTGGCCAACTCAACAACAGCTGCAGGGCAAGTAGACGTACTCCTATGTGGATTCCCGAGCCAAGAATCCAATGGGTCGCCTACAGGTGGCAGCGATTTCACGCCTGTCAACACGCATGACGCACACCAAATTTGGCCGCCTCGGCTGCAGCTGCCGGATAATTATGACAGCGATGATTATTGCGATGGGAACGGCCCCCGAATCGCTTTTTTGCTCGAAGTGGAAGGCGTCTGCATTCGCGACAGCCTCTCAGCTGGAATTTATTCGATTTTCTCGACTGCGCCCCCAAGTCGAACTCGAAATGACACAGTGCCTGCTCAAAAAAACACAAAATGGCTATGCGATAAATTCGTATCTTAACAATATGCATTTGTAGGTGATAAAATATAAGTAATTGAATTTATTTTATCAAATTTTTTGTTAAATTGAATTTTGTTAAGTTAGTCAATTTCCAGGAAGTGCCAATATTAATTATATTTATTTACTAGCAAACCCGGCGAACTTTGTTCTGCCTTTTTTTGGAAAAAATTACAAAAATAATCAAAAACCTACATTAATATTTAATTTTTATTTCTGTATTTTGGTACATAGGCGTCGATCAAGTTGTTCTTCCATGTTTCATTGCTTAATGATACATCTGCTGAAGATTTCTCGAAGCAATTGCTGACTATCGGCAATGGTCAAGTACCTGTCGATGAATCGAGCGGATTAATATCATTTCGAAATAATTTTTGTAATTTTGTCTCATCAAAAAAGGAACTTATCAACAATGTATTTGCAAACATTATTTCTAACTACAAAAATAAGGAATGGTTGAGTGAGAGAGCCATTTTAGCGGCTAAGAATAAAGATGTTGATGACCTGAACTACATAATTCAAAATAAGATCATTGGAACAATGCATTCATTCAAATCTATTGACTGAGTCACAAATGAAGATGAAGCCACCAACTATTCAATTAAATTTTTAAACTCTTTGGACGTGCCTGGCTTACCACTTACAAAAATTATTTCGAAATGATATTAATCCGCTCGATTCATCGACAGGTACTTGACCATTGCCGATAGTCAGCAATTGCTTCGAGAAATCTTCAGCAGATGTATCATTAAGCAACGAAACATGGAAGAACAACTTGATCGACGCCTATGTACCAAAATACAGAAATAAAAATTAAATATTAATGTAGGTTTTTGATTATTTTTGTAATTTTTTCCAAAAAAAGGCAGAACAAAGTTCGCCGGATATGTCGCTGGCATTCCCAACCTGATTAATAAATTACCACACATGAGGTAACACATATCTTCGATCAAGAGTAAAGCCCGATTATGTATCTCCTCATTCATCTCAATGTCGTGATTTCTGGAACTGACACGAATTTGATGTAAAATATCTTCTGACATATTATCCTTGTATTTGTGCCACAGGTTACATGGGTTTGAGGGAGTACATGTCGAAATTATGATAGCGAATAATGTGCGTATCTGAATAGGACTTAGGGTACTTTTTATTCCGTTCGACATACCATTAAAGCAGCATAATCCAGGCGTTTCTCCGGAAAACTTCAGTGCACCGCAATACTCGCAAACAACGTCCATTTGCCCAATGCAAACGCTAGGATGCAAGCTGTAATCAGTGATGCAATCGTATTGAAACGCTGCTCGATTCAAATCAGCACTTGATAAATTTCTTCTGCGTCGCAAATGATCTATTTCTTGACCTCTGTTGTAAGCTCGACGATTCTGCATTGTCAACCGAGCCGTATTACGGATTGCCTCTCTTTGCTCTGCTGATTGAGAAGCACGAAGTCGACCTATTCTAACGCGGTTCTGTTCACGTTCAATGTTTTGTTCTTCTTCAGACCTTCCATTTGCAGTATTTTGTAGTCTTCTTGCATTACGGCTTTGTCGGGAAAGATTCGATCGTCTTGGTCGCGGCATTATTAATTAAACTTCCCTTCACTTCAATTCACAAAAAGCACGAAAAACTTCACTTCACTTCAATTCACCAAAATCACAAATAATTTCTACTCACTTTAAAAAAATTGAGTTAAAATGCTATGGTAGTGTGTGCTTGTCAGTTTGATGAGGTAATAACTCAGTTTATATGCGATTTTTGGTATGTCGAACGGAATAAAAAGTACCCTAACTCCTATTCCGGGCTCTAAGCTACCTTCCTACCAATTTTCAGCCAAATCTGTTCAGCCGTTCTTAAGTTATAAGTGGTGGAACTAACACAACTTGCTTTTATATATATAGATTACCTTATCCAACTAACCTGCAAAATGTAAACAAAATTAATTAAATCTATATATTTTAGTGTTGCTTTTTACCTTTTGTACAAACACTTAATTATGGTTGATTTGGTAGCGTTTAGCAGAAATTTATATATCCCCAAAAAAACTTTATTTAAATTAATTTATTTATTCAACTAATTAAAAATTCTATATGTTGTGAAATATATATTTCTTTTGTTTATCTTTTGGTAAACTTTTTACTTTGTTTAACACACAAACGCCGGATTTAAGTTGGAGTTGGTTAAAAAGTTAAAGATAAACAGGACCAAACTTCCGGTTGAAGTTTGACTTATTCATTAAATATGTAATTATTTCTTTCGTGTCTAAGCCCCAAAAGTTTTCCATTGCGGTTTCGCTGGCAAAGTTTTTCCCAAAAATATACATTTCTGTCTGTTTATGCGAGCCGAAGGCAGTGTGCCTTGGCTTTAACTCTTCCGATGGCTCACACCTCGGCTTAAAGCCGCTGTGCGTTGGTGTCTCTCAGTGCTGCCCTGGCGTAGACAATCCGGCATTTGGTGTACTTTTGTGTAAGTCAGCCAGCCAGTCTGCCAATTGTCGCTATAACAGACAGACGTTGATTCCGCGGTGCCGCCGACTTACTTGTTGACTGTTCGACGTCTCCAACTTTCGTTGGGCAAATGTTCGGCGAAGTTTTCTGGTTTCTAAAGTGGCAATGTTGTTGCTCTTGCAGGGAACTACAATCGGCCAGCGGCGAGTGGCTGAAGGACGCCTACGCCCTCGGCTCCTGCAGTGCCGTCGACCACCTGACCACCAGCGATGTCCTGAGGAAGAGCATCCGACGTTCTTGGACCATATCGAGTGAGTACTTCTAGATCATATGAGAAGTGTTTTATGTGACTTGATAATGAATAATAATGTCAAGCAGCAAGCATCCTAATCAATAATAATAATAATATTAAACTCTGTTAAATTTAATTCTATTCAAATTAATTAAAAATATTAAATCATTTTATTAATTTTGCTACAGTAATTTTCACTTTATTGCTGTGTTAATAAATCATTCAAATTACAAGTAAATTTAACTTAGATCTTAAATGATTTCTGGCTTAATACACTCTTCATTTAATCAAAACTTTTCTTACTGATGAGATCGGAATTAATTCATTTTCCCACCCACAGATCCCGAGGACGACCCGAACAACCCGAACTCGCAGCAGCCGGTGGCGGACAACCTGTATCCGCAGCAGCAGCATCTGATTGAGGCGCAGTCGGCGGGCAGCTACCCCACTCTGCACCAGCACCACCAGCAGCACCACCTGCCCCCGCAGCCGCGGCCCACGACGCACGGCATCGGCTACGCCAGTGGCACCGCCACGCCCACCACCAGCAGTAAGTGGCAGCTGGGGCGGCGGGTCCTGCGTCAGTCGACGCTGCCGAGCAGCCTCAATAACGACCCCGCTCTCAGCGGCAGCGGTGGCAACCTGGCCAACTACAACTCGGTGAACCTAACGGCGCCCACATCGCCGCATCAGCTGCAGAAGAGTCCGCTCTATCCGAGCGCCTACAACAGCGACGACGTCATCCACATGAACACGATGCCCGGAATGGGAATGGGTATCGGAGTGGGTGTCACCGTCGGCGACTGCGACAACTACGCACAGCAGCAACAGCTACAGCAGCAACAGCAACCACAGCAACAGCAACAACAGCAACATCAGCAACCCCAGCTGGAGGTCACACCCACGCATCATCGGTTGCAGGTGCGGCGGCAATCGACGTTGCCCGCCCAACCCACTCCGGCCATCTACATGTCCACCTCGCCGAACCGCCTGTACAGTCGCTCCCCGGAAAGATCGCCGGGTGAGCAGCAGCGATATCCACCGTTCATGCGGCAGACATCCTTCCCGGAACCACCGAGCACCTATCATCGCACCAAGTTGCTGCCCAGCACAGGTGCACCACCATCCACGGTGGCTCCTCCGCCACTGAACTACGAATCGCAGGCATCCAGTTTGGCCAGCGACGATCAGGATGTGGGTCCCATGCCCAAGCCACGGATGACCCGACAGGCCACTCTACCGAATCCCGAACAGCATGTCAAGTTGTTACCCACATCTCCGCCGAAGAGGCAGACTTCCCCGCAGTTTCGACGCTCGCCGGAGTTTATGAGGCAGCAAACGCTTCCCAATCCGGAGGCATTCAACAGTGGAAACACCTTAACCGTACATTCAACGCCACCGGGGAAATTCATGCCGATTTCGCCGCGGGCCAAGCAGAATTTCCTCTTCCCGAGTGTCCCGAATCCCAGACAGTTCCTCTCGCAACCGCATGTTCCCGCGGTGGGTGGCACTGATCTGGGATCCGGAGGCAGTGTGGCGGGCACAAATGCCGGAGGTGGGGAGCAGTACTCCAGCAGTCAGAGTGTGAATATCCACCACTCCCGAGATCCGCATGCCAAGATGATCAAGGTGCGCAGCCACAGCAACGAGGAGTACTCGAACACGAAGGGTCACTCGGAGAACAGGAGATTGCTCCCGGAGATTCCAACGGCTGTCCAGAGAACTGGTGGACGATCGCCAAGTCGTCTGGTAAGACAGGACTGCCTCAAGGAGGAAAGGACCTTCGGGGAAGCCAAGCAGCAGTTCCATCAGTTCCCCGATGTCACCGAGGAGCTGGACAATCGTCCGGAATACGTTGACTACTTTGGCGACAGTGCCACCAGTTTCCTGGAATCCGATGAAGTTCAGTACGAGCGGAACTATAATGCCGGATTTAGTAGTGAACCAAGGATTATATACAATAATGGATCGGATGATGGCAGCTACCAGAATTCCTCACAGAGACCCATTTACAGTGCCGAGAATGTCCTGGCTGATTCTGGTTACGGAGGAGGTGCCGGAGTGGGTTTGGGAGCCAGTGGAGGATCTGGAGGAGTGCCTGGCTACTATCCCGACATGGGAACCCCTCAAGGTTTCTATGGAGGAGCCGCTCTGCCACGAACTCCTCTGATGCACAATCGCATGAGGAGGCGGCAATCGAGGGAGCTGCAAATGCAGCAGGAGGAGTTGGCTCAACTTTCCCAGGCATCAGATGCAAATGGAAAGTGTTCTGGAAATGAAGGTGCAACCACCGGAGGAAGTGGAGCAGATGGCCACGCCGCCGAGAGAAGGAAACCGGAGCAGATGCGCTCCGTTTCAGAGGATTCGGGAGCTAAAACCACACCGAAACCAGTAACACGAAGATCTTTTTCACATCCCGAAAAGGACACGCAGGTGGGTTGCTATTTGGTTATAAAAAAAAGGAATAATATATTAATGATTACTTATTTTTAAGCAGCCCACGAAGAAAACCGAAATATCGAAGATACCCAGTCCACGACCCTTAGCTGATATCCTGGACAAAACTCGCGGAAATTCCAAGATTCCACAGGCAAGACGCAGGAATTCCCGGACAGGAATTGGTGAAGCTGAGGAGGGTAAGTTCCGATGAAGATTCTGTTTTGACAGTAGCTATGGTTGCATTCTGCGCATCCACGCATCCGTAGACTCCAGGGACCGCAATTATTACTAGTTTATCACAAGCACCTACCATCTATATTCACCAAATTTGATTCATAATATACACAATCATGCGTTAAACAAAATATTTTATAAATACAACAAATTATGTAGTTAGAAATATATATTATGTAGAAATTATAATTCGCACACGTATTGCTAACGACTACAAAATAATCAAAATTTATTTTTGGCTTATGGCTTTCACCCAAAAATATTGCAGTTTTTTTTAGACAATCTATAATAATCATTAACATAACACATGGTTTTTAAATTCATTTAAAATGCTTAAAATAAATATATATTTATATACCAACTAGAACTGAATACCCAAGAAGAATTATTATTTATTTATATTATCTGCCAAATCATTAGTAATTTATAAATATGAACTGACCCCAATTAGTGATTAGCGAAGTTAAGCCCTTAGCTAAAACACCACACATATTTATTTTGAAGTCAATAAACTTAGAGAGTAATTTGTTAAATCCACGCAAATAAATAGTTTCCCATCCCCATTTGCCCAAAAGTAGTTTTTGCTTGCGCGCAAACCAACGAGTAAATAACTACGTGTTTATAGTTAATGAATTAATTTTTGCGGTCTCTGGTAGAACCTTGAGTAGCTGCGCTTGTTCTGGCACCCGATTGATGAACGCTTCGCACCCCTGCCCCCTTAATCACCTCCACAGGTAGCACGACCCAGCACATTTACTCCTTCCATCAACAGCTTATGCATAGAAACTCTGATTTAGCCATGCGCCTGAAAAAAACAGAAATTCCTGTCGCCTCAGTAGCAGCAGCTTCTACTCCAGCAGCTCCAGCCAACCAGGACGAGAATCCCCAGGGGGAAACGGGAGCCAAAGGATCCGCAGCGGAGCAGCCGGTCAACGGCAAGTCCCTCGATTCCTCGGCCAACAAGGATGGTGGTGATCCGAATACCACTGCGGTGAGTAGAACATCGAGTTCCCGGAGACAAGTGGAAGATTTAAGGCCCCCTTCGACTCCGATTTCTTCATTAGGAGGCCACCCACACGAGCACTTTGGGCGAGCAGGAGCTGCAGAATGCAGTGGAGGCTGCAGCGGTCGTCTTCAAGAAGGTCGTCCTGCAGCGTCGCAAGGAGAAGGAGAAGGCCGCCGAAGAAGGTAAGTGCTAATAGCCGTCCCTATTTAAAACACTGAGAAAATAATTTACAGAAAATACGGAATAAAGTGCTATGATAACTTATCTTAAAAGTTAAAAAAAAATAATGCACAATTTAAAATAAAGAAATAAAATAATCATCAATTCATTTGAAATACCAATCTCAGTTTTAAAATAATATAAAAATTAGTATATAAACATATAAACTTTATTTTGTGTTACACTTTTATTTAACCATTTATGAAATCTCATATTTTATCATTATTGAAACCAACATTTTGTTCCTCAATTCTGCTGAATGACTTTTTCTCAGTGTGCCCTTTGTAGTTGTGTCTGTGTAGCTAAGTGTATGTTTGGCAGCGTAATTAACTTGGTGATGGTAATGCTAATGCCCTGTACTGATGCTACTTCTGATGCTGATGCGATGCTGATGCTGATGATGGTGGGTGGCGATGTCCTGGCTGACTAACAAACTCTTTGTGAAGGGCTTCGCCTTCCGTCTAATTTCGCTCAATTAATTAAGTTCCTTCTGAAGCTGAAGGTGGGTTGGCTTCTTGGGTTGGCTGTCATTGTTAAACCACCGCCAGTTTTCCCCTGAAGTTGCCTTGCACTTTCTTCACTTCAGGAAGAGAAAAATGAAACTTGTTAAACGTTTCTCAAAAGTTTTTGCAATCCTTTAAATCTTAGAAGAGGGTTTTATAAAGCTTAATTTTTGCATTAGAAAACTTTAGTTTGTCTTAAACAAACTTGACTTCCTAATGATTTAATTACCAAGCTAGAAAATAACTTTAACCGTACTAAACTAACTTTGCAATTAGAGTATTTTACCGTTTGGTGTCGAAACTCTAAAAAAAATCTTCCCCTTTGGAATTCTTTGGTCATTGGCTTTCAAAAGCAAATCCCAAAAGAATGCAACACTTTTTTCCCGCTCACTTCTTCGGAGAGTTACTGAAAGTATGCCACCAATTTTCAGTTTGCTCGCAGCAGACTTCCATTCTCTATTTGAATTAAATTTTCCCTGAAGCCATTGGCGACATGACCACAAAGCAAAATTTAAGAGCAAAGTTGGCCGCGGTTCAAAAGATTTTGGGCCACGGAACCGAAAACAAAATCCAAGAGAAAACCTCGCCCGTGGGCGGGTGAAAATAATTTTTTGGCAACTCATAAATCGATTTCCCGGCCCACACGCACTTCGACGAGCAACGTCAAGAGTTTTCCGGGGGATTTTCCTGAGGGGGTTAGAGGGGCCTTTGCCGACTTTTGTTATGTTTCAATTTGGCGATTTGTGGGAGTCTGGTTCTGTGACCACCAACGCAACGAGTGTCTATGTGAGGATTTGCGAAGCGGTGGCCCTTTGCCTCGCAGGACGCCTCCCGCATCCTGGATTCCTCGCTCGCACTGACACGGCCCACGGATAAAACCAAAGCCGGTGGCACCCACTGGAAATTTTTGGAAATTATAAGAGGGCAAAGGGGAGGGGGGAGGGAAGGGGGAGTTGTTAGTGGGGAGTGAGTAGGGGGGAGTGGTACTGTCAGAACTGTAGCGTTAATCTTATCTCGTGCACCTTTTGTGCTTCGATGTGGGCACTGCTCTGTGAATGCCTAAAAGTGCTCGCAGTTCACTGCCAGGGAACGAATTTGAATACACAGCAAACAGCTTGAATACGTATATATTGACCATTTAAATTTACCTTAAATTATAATTTTTTCAATTTATGGAGTTCCACCATTCTTGTAATCAAATTAGTTTAACAACTATTAGGCATTCCATTTCAAAATAAACAGGTTCTTTTTAAAGTAACTGAGCTGTATTATTATAAAACAATTGTTATTTAGGTCAAATGCATAAGTCAAACTTATTGTGCAAACCCCTTGAAAGGTATTTGTTTAAGAGCCACCCAATTGATAATACATAAAATGCGCAGTTATGTGGCTACAATAGTGGCCAGTGTAGAAACTGTGATAGGAAGGACGTGCCCGGTGCAGGGGAGCCCCGGCCAAATGTTTACTTTGTGGCTGCCAGAGATTGACGCCACGTGCATCCGCAAACTGCCGGTTGTTGCAGTTTTGTTTGTGCACCCGTCCAACCGAAAAGGAGAGCGGGCAAAAGGGGAGCCACTCCGGGGAGAAGGGAAAAAGGGGAGGGGGAAAGGACACGACGATGTTGGCAACTTTAAAAGCTTTTTGGCAAATTTGTGCTAGTCCTTGTCGTGGCAAGAAAAGCTTGTGGCTAACAATCATAATCAATCAAGAGTCTTTCAACTGCTTCCTGTCAAGTTGGATACTTGAACGCTAGGGGAAATGATTTCTTGAATATTCAATTTTGGTCAGGAAGGAGTTAACAAAGTGGAAATCATATGTACGTTCACTCTTATAGCTTATCTTGTGTCAGGACATGGGATTTCATTCCCAACTCACCAATGCATTTAACAGAAACTTACTCGAATAATTTAGAACATAACTAAGTTGTATAAATAATATGAAACCCAGCCTTTACCTCTTTGGGAGTTTAATAAAAAAAACTTAAAGATTATTTATAGGTTTCAGTTACTATAAACTGTAATTGTTTGTAAATTCTATATCACCTTTTTCTATTTATCGGAAATATCTCCTCCAAAGTTCTGATATATCAAATAACTGGTTTATGTCAGCAAAATCACAATCAATTCGCAATGATAGGGTTCCAGAAGGGCGTGTTTCATGGGTTGAATTCATTACCTAGATAACAATCTGTGAATTGGGGTTGATAAAACCACTAACACTCCTCCGTAACCTCTAGTATCTATTAATATCTCAGGTGTTTTGTGTTTCGGTGCAACCATCCAAGCTTAACCCACTCTAGCTGTAAGTTCTTGTCTAACAACCACCCGAACCTGTGCTTAACCTTAACCCATCTGCAAAGCGCTTGTCTTGTACCTTTCGGTGTGGAAAACTCACCCTCCGCTTAACCAGTATTTCACCTGTGTGTTTCGGTGGCAATAACCAGTATTTCGTACCTCTAACTCCGTGGTGTTGGTCAACGTCAAAGTGGTTGTCTTCGAACTGAACGAATATGCTTCCAACCCCGCTACTCCACAGGCGTTCAGCACCACCAAAAGCAAAAGCAGCAGCAGCAGCAACAGCAGCTGTCGGTGGTTTCCGGTGGTGATATCGTAACCATCAGCGGAGGAGGAGGAGTCACCGGTGATGCCATGGAAACGTCGTCGTCATCGGAGCTGGACTTCAGGTGTTCCACCCAACACGGTCGCCAGCAGCAGCAGTCGCAGTATAGCGTCGAAGCCGACGAGTTCAAGCTCGTCTTCCTCAACTCGGATTCATCTTCGTCCTGTCACGGCGAGGAGGAAGAGGAAGAGGAGGAGAATGATACGGACTCATCCTGTTCCACGCACCACTGTCACAGCATTGTGAGCAATGTGGAGGATTGCGATTGGGATTACTTCGAACCCTCCATGATTTCCACAACCACAACCACAACAACCACCATGATTGCTTACACCACCGCCAGAGCCACGCCCACTCCACCGCCAAGAGTGAGGCGTCAATCCAGCGATAGTGATTCCCCACTGGTGCAGAGGCGTCCCCAGCAACCGAGGAGTAGCTACTGTCCCAAGATCAGGGAGAGTGACACCGGAACCGACGAGGAGTTCGTTCTGAATACAGAGAGTAGTTCGCAGACCAGCTCGGATCCAACGCCACCACCGGTGCCACCACCTCCCCACCCACTGAGCATGAAGACCAGGATCAAGACTCGGTTCCTGAAGAACCACCACCACCACAGCCACAACCGATGCAACTGCAATCCCGGCCAGCAGCAGCAGCAGCAGCAGATGCAACCGCAGCCGCAATATGTTCCGATTCCCGTGCCCGTTCCCATTCCCGTGCCCATGGCCGCCTATCCCAATTGGCCGGAGGTGGCCGGTAATCCCCTCCTGGAACAGGACGAGCAGCTGGCCGCCAGTCTGCAGCAACTTTGGCAGGCGGCCGGCCAGCAGCAGCAGTTTGCCGCCATTGTTGCAGCCTATTCGCAGCAATTTGCGGCGGCCAGCAGCAACATGTTCGATGCAACGCCGCCGGTGACCAGCAAAAGCTACCAACAGCTGCCGACGACGCCGCCACCGATGCCGCAACGCTTGCGCGGATTGGCGGGCTTCAAGTCCTCCGCTCCGGAGTTGAGTGCCTCGCTGGGATCGCTGATGACGCAGTCGCTCTGCTCCACCATATCCTCATCCTCGTCGTCGAGCACCTCGGGTTATGGCACTGCGGGCAGGAGTCTGGAAACACTGGCCAGTCCAATTCGAGCTGCCAACTCGCTGCAGCAGCAATACCAACAACAGCAGCAGCAGCAGCAACAACAGCAACAGCAGCAGCAATACCAACAACAGCAACAAATGGCCAGCAGTGCTTTCAAGCCAAAGCCAACAAGTTTAGTAGCGTCGCGTTCGCCGACGGGTGAGCAACCAGAAACGAGCAACGCGCGTCGCAACACCAACAGCAACAGTGAGAGCGACGACAGCAACACCAAGAGCAGCAGCAGCAACAGCAGCAACAACAACGCAACGCCCACAACGGGTAGATTGTGTAATGTTTTTGATAAAACCGGCACATTGCCAGTGCTTGTTGTTCAGGCACATGTTGCTGGTGTAGATAAGAGCACAGCATTGGCAGCAACAACATCAGAATCAGCAGCAGCAGCAATATCAACAACTGAAACACCAGCAACATCCACTAAGGGAACCGCTCTGAGAGTGGCCAGCAAATACCAGAGCCGAAATCTATGCGAAACCCAAGCGGCGGCAACAACACAAACCTACCTGGCCAGTAAAAACAGCCACGAAGAAGTGGAAGCAGCAGACGAAACGAATATACATAAAAATCAAGTACCACTAGCAGCAACAACAACACAAACAGCAACAACAACACAAGCAACAACAAAAGAAATACAAACAGCAACTAGAGCTGCGGCTCCTGCGGTAATAACTCGTTTCGGGGGACTTGCAGTCGAAAATGTGGTTGGAAATGCTGGTGTCTCGGAAAGTCCCAAACCCAGAGCCCAGCAGCACCCAGAGCAGCAGCAGATAGATGATCATCGTTCGCCGACGGAGATTGCCAAGAATTTGTCCTCCAATCGACTTACGAGTAGAGCGAATAGCAAGAACATCATGTCCGATGAGCCATCGGCATCTGTGTCCGAATCCGTATCGATCCATTTGCAGAGCGAAAGCTATGCGGCCAGCAGTCCAGACGAGGTGAGCAGCAACAGCAGCCAGGAGGAGGATGCCAAGCCGAGGCGCACCTCCCAGAGGAGCTACAATGTGGCCGAGGTGATGGAGGAGCAGCTGGATGAGGAGGAGGAGGAGCAGCAGCAGCGCCACCACAGCACCACCTCGAGTGCCTCCAGTTCCAGCAGCAGTTCGAACTCCAGTTCCAGCTCGGAATCCTGTGACTCCGATGATACGGGAACAGTGCGCGATCGCAGGCCGAAAAGGAGGAGGTTCAACAAGGTGTTCGTGGTGAATCGACAACCAGGAGCGAGGGTGCGACGCAGTTCCTCCACCGAAGGGGATTCCCTCTCCTCATCTGAAGCGAATCTAGAAGACTCCTCGGATAATGACACGGATACCGAGCGAACGGATTGTGGCATAGTACTTAACTACGTGAAACCGCTAGAAGAGGAGCCCAAAAAACCAGAAGAGGATGGGGAGGAGGAGGAGGAGGAGGAGGGGGAGGTTGCGGGGGCGGCGGCGCCAGCTGCACGTGATTGCCAATCGAGTGACGATGATGAAAGTGAACGCCGTGTTGCCAACTCAAGCGATGAGCTGGCCAACTGCATTGTGGTTGTGGGCGGACAGACGGACGACGCTGCCGCCGGCGTGGTGCTGCATCGCATGCGATCTCTGCCAGACGAAGACAACAGCAACAGCAACGAGGTGGTGGAGCAGCAGCAGCAGCAGCCGGAGGAGGAGGAGAAGCAATCAGAGCGCCAAATGGCCGACAGTGATGCTCTGGCCGCCTGCGATGAGTTGCACAGCATCTCGAACGATGTCAACCGACTGCTGGAGCTGCACAAGCAGAATTCCCAGCTGGAAATCAAGCTGCAGCGCTTGCGACAGGGAGTGGCCGAAATCAATGAGGATCTGCAGCTAACCACCGGCACTGATGTGGCTGCCACCCACCAAACGAGGCGAGCAGGTAGTCCATTGGCGATTGCGAATCCCGATGGGAAGCCCGACGAGTGCAGCCGCCCTTCTGGGAAAAGCCTCTCGAGCCTCTCGAGCGTGCTAAATTCTAATGACGGCACTGCTCATCGCCTCACCTGCCTGCAGGTAGAAGAAAAGCAGGCAAACAGCGATTGTAAACGATTGGCGGCGGCGGCGGCTGAGAAGAAAACAGCTGAGCAAACGCAGAGGGTCGGCACATGCAGCCAAGCATGCAAAATAAACGAAAACAGCACCGACTACTCGCTCGACTCGCTCTCCAACTCGTCGTCGTTGAGTTTGGCACCTGAGCAGGTAGAAATCCAGCCGGAGAGCACTCGCTTTTTCGGCTTACCTGTCGCTCGAGAGAAGCAACAGCAACAGCAAGAGCAACAGCAAGAGCAACAGCAGCAATATCGCTTCGATTCGAAATCGGAGTCGGCGGAGTCGACAGTCGAAAATGAAATGTTAAACGTTGCGGTCGCTCCACGCTCCGCGCTCTTCAGCGGTAACAATAACAATAAAAACAACAACGATAATAGCAATAACGAAAACACTAATAACAACAGCAACAACAACAACAACGACAGCAACAGCAACAGCGAACTTGGCCATAATAATGACGCTTTCGCAGCGGCACAAAAGACGAGAAATAGCGGCTCGAGTGACGTAGTGAGTGTGAATTCAAATGTGAGTGGTGGTGAAAACGAGTGTGACTACGACAAAATATTTGGTAGCCATCGGAAGAGCACTTCAAGTGCAACAGCAACAACAACAGCAGCAACAACATCATCACCGGTGACACCTGCAACATCGCCCAGCGATTTGGCTTCGCCCAAAAATTCACTTTCAGCCAAGTATCGCAGCTTGGTCATGATCACCAAAGACAATGAAAGTGCAGCTGGTGATTATGAAATGGCAACCAGCAGCGGCAACAACAACAGCAGCAGCAACTCCAATCGCAGCAGAGGCAGCAACAAAGGCAGCAATACTTTTGGCCAGAACTTTGCGGGTGACTCATTTCGCGCCATGGAACCAACCGAACTCGTGAGCAGCGATCGCGAATCGTACAGTGTGGACTCGCTAAACGAACCGCCCGCCTTGCCGGAACTTTCTGTGGAGGATGGTTTGGCGGATGACGACTCCTGGGTGGAGGAACTGAGTCAAAGGGGCGAGGATGAGGATGATGAGAACCTGAGCAATGCCACCACCACGCCAACTGCCACGGATTCCGAAGATGCGGAAGGGGAAACTGAAGGAACCCGGAGATATTTGGATCGCGAGGAGGAACTGAGGGGATATAACCGATCTGCCATCGATTTCACCTTACATACAATTGTGGAGGAGAGTTGCGAGGAGAGCGAGGTGGCCTCCATGCGAGCGGATAACGAGGACACCGAGTTGGAGGAGGAGGATCTGGCGGAGCGGAGGCGACAACGCACTCTGAACCATCACCATCGGTTGAGTGCCTCCGAATTGGAGAAGTACTTCTTCTTTGGACTGGGAGATGGTCGGGTGATGAGCAGCATTGACACCCGTGGCGATGACACCGCCTCCGAGGTGAGTTCCGAGTGCTCCGAGAGTCTGGACTCCCTGCCCCACGAAGATCAGCTACTGGACACCAGTGGAGCCTCCGATCTGGCCTCCTCCCGCCTGGAAAAGTACTTCCTCTCCGGATTTATGGGCTTCAGTGGCGGGGAGAAGCAGGCGGAGAGCGACGAGAGTGGCGGCAGTGTGGGCAGCGATAGCGAAGGTCACCCGAGTCCCAGTCAGCGGAGGAAGCGATTGGTGAGGGCCAGGGGAACCCCAAGGAGTCACAACTCCTCGCTGGATAATCTTCTCCTTCCCGAAACCGATACCCTGGATGCCACGGTAACTTCTGCTGGAGGAACAGCCACGGCCACAGTGGAGGACACCTCCGAATCCGAGGCAGGTTGCGATGACACTGTGATCCACTTGGCCAACGCCGGTGCCTCCGATGGCTCCTCCTCCGATACGATTAAGAGGAAGAAGCAGCTAAGGAAGAGGCACGATTCCCTGGATGAGAAGAAGCTGCATGATCTGGAACCCTCCGAGTGCAGGACTCCCACTCCAGGTGCTGGTGGTCAGGTGCAGATGCAATCGCAGGCCAAGAAGCAGCAGCAGCAGCACCATCACAGCCGGGACAGTGGATTTGTGGGCAGCAATGATGATCTGCTGAAAGCAGCTCCGGATTGTGAGCCACCCAAGAGTCCCACTCCCGCATTGGAGCAGATCAGCGAGGACAGGGAACCAGCTCACAGCCAGATAAGCCTGGCCAAGATGGATATGCCGAGCACCTCAGCAGCTGCAGCCACGAATCCCATGCCCAGCCAACTGAGAAATCTCACCCTGCCCAATTTGGTGCGAAAGGACAGCTTCAACAACTGGAGTTCCGACGAGGAGACCAACCTGATGATGAGCAAGATGCGGCAGTTCTTCAAGACCCTCATCGTGGCCACTGCAAATGCGCAGCAGCAGCAGAGCAAGCCAACCACTCCCAATCAGGGCCAGAACACCACGCCCAGTTCCCAGCGGAAGGTGGCCAAATCCCGGCCAGCTCAGTTGGCCTACTTCGAAAACGAGCTAACGCGACTGATGAAAACCGTGCCGGGAATCAACGATGAGCAGGTGCGCGAAATAGTGGAGTACCTGAGCAGCGAGGACACGTGGTCCGATTCCTACGACTCCTCCGATTACACGAGCTCCGATTTGGAGGGCGGTGAGCGGAAGGGTCAACTGAAGGCACAGATCTCCGCCAGCTGCCAGCAGATAATCAACAAGTTCGAGATCGACGAGGAGGGAGATCGAGGAGATGGTGGCTTGCTGGACGAAAGTCAGAGTGTTCCCATGGAGGCCTTGGTCTACCAAAAGCTGGTAGCTTCCTTCAGCAAAGTGGCAGCTGGCGGAGAACCGGAAGTGGAAGCTGCCAAGGAGGTGGAAGAGAAGGAGGCATCCACGGAGAGATCTCCCCAGCTTTTTGCCAAGGTGATGCAGCACATTGGCACCCGGTTGGTGGCTCTAATGCACGAGGTTAGCAGTGGCAATGAGACACCCACTCCCTCGCCGCAAAATCAAAGGCACCACAGAAGACTGCAGGCCAAGATCTCGGCCACCACAACGGAGGATGAAGAGGATGAGGTGGAGGAGCAACTCCGAGCGATGCCCATTAAGCAATTGAAGCTGAGGAGCAGATCACATGACCTCCTGCTGGATGGAACCACTCCCCATTCGCACCACCTGCACCACCAGGCCACCGTTCACCATCCGGGAAGTGGAGTAAGTGGCACTGCAGGATCTGGAGGATCCTCCGGACCTGGACACTCGGACAACGCCGGCGAGGAGTGCGGCGTGACCAGCGACTACGAACGGTTCTCGTGGCGCGGCAGTTTTGAGTCGGCATTACTGGCTAATGGCGACAGCAGAACGAGGCTCAGCCAGCTGAGCCAACTGGACAGGGACAACTCGTCGTCTGCGTCCGCTTTGGCAGTTGCAAAGCGCCGATCGGCAGGCGACCTTCTCTTCAGCCAGCACCAGCAGAGCCTCAGCCGCGAGCAACTGGATCGGGTGAGATCCTGCGGCAGCATCGGAGGAGGCGATGCCCACCACCACCAGCTGGAGGCCTCGCCAGCGAAACCCTGGCTCTCCTCGGCGGGATCTTCCATAGGAGGTGATTCCACGAAGGACGTGAGACGCTCCAGTGTGCCGGATGCCATCTACGAAACGGATTCCAGCGATGAAACCGCCTCGAATCAGTTTGGAGGAGCCAGATCCACGCTGCCCAGGAGTCTCAACTCCGGCCAGGTGGTGGCCAGCACGAATTCGCTGCCGAGGCTGCCCACCACCACCACCGGAGCGGGTGGTGCACCCATCACCAGCACCCCGAAGACAAAGTCACAGAGTGCCCTCAACCACACGCCCTCCAATTTGTCCTCCGTCTCCGCCACTGGAAGTGCGAAGAGTGCGAGGTACCGCTCGCCAGGATTGGCTGCTCGAGCCGCAGCTGTCAGTGGTGGTGGAGCAGCAGGAGGAGGAGGAGGAGGAGGTGGTGGATCTCTGGGAGGAGTGGCTGGCGGTGGAGTGGCCAGCAGCGGGAAAAAACTAGGCGCGGGCTTCCAGTTCCTCTACTCCAAACGCGATGCGCGCAAACGTCTCAACATGTCAGCGGGTGAGTTGCTCAAAGCCTAATGTTTACCTTTCGCATATTTCCGGGGGTGGTAGTGCCAGCAGTGGTGCTGCCACACCTTCGTCACGGAATCGGGTGGATTGGGTGGGTGGTGCGTTCCAAGAGGGACACGCACAGGCGTCAGCCGGCGGGCTCAAATAACTGGCCATGAAATTGCTTCCTTCCTAATGAAAAATTCCTCACACCAAGTGGAAGGAACTCCTTTAGCGTTTGCCATTTAAAGGCGTCCTGGGGGAATCTGATCCTTCGACAGGGAGACAGATGACCTTACCAAGGGGTCTGCACTTAGGAAAAAACTTTAATAAAAGTAGTAAGGAAGTTGGAAAAATATTTAAAAGGAAATATTTAGATATTAAAATATTACCTAAATTGAAATTTCTGTTTCTACACAGAAAAGGAAAATTCATGCTTATGGGAAATTCTAAATATCTATTGGTAATAATTTCACATCCTCTAGAAAATCTTTCAAAAACTTGTGTAAAAACCACAACCTGTTGAACCACCTACCAACTTATATTCCTACCCTATAAATACCCCAAAATGGGTCCCCAAAATTCTACTAAGGAGGCAGCCGCACCCTAAACTATTTATGCTGATTAGGCTGGAGCAGGAATTTGGGGAATGCGGCAGCTCCTCCCACAAACCCCCCATAATGATGATGTTGATGTTGGCCAGCCAGGGAGCTGCACACTCATAGATACACACTCACACCAGTTCGGATGGAGACATTTGGTTCCGCAGACAGCTGCTTCGCCCGAAATAAACTCAATCAAGGTCAATTAACTGTATCCATATTTAGAGCTCCACTTATGGCCAACTGCGGCTCAATTTCCAGTTGGCGTCTAAAGCGATTTTCGCACAGTTGCGTAGTCAGTGTGTTAATGTGGTTCCAGATGTAGAAGTATTACTATTATGTGGTAGTAGTTTTGGATGTGTGCAGCACTTCGTGAATCTGGCTTTGTTCCGCTTGGCGGGGGCGTACGTTTTTTATTCGCTGTTTTCTATGTATATTTTTTGGCCGAAAAGCTGTTTTCGCTTTTGTGGCCAACAATTATATACCGCTTGGTCAATGGAACTCGAACTCGCAACTTGAAAACCTGGGTGCAGGCGGGCTTTGAACTTTGCTGTGTCATTTAGAGGTGGTTGGTGGTTGAGGGATAGTTTGAATAATGGATAACACACCCTGATGATTTTCACAATATATGTTATAAAATCTATTACACTTTAATATAAATCCAATGAAACTTCACATGTAATTATGAATTTTACTGTAGGAAAAACATATTAATCATGAAAAGAGAAATCGTATAAAAACTCATTTCGGTGAAATGCCTTTTATATTTTCTTTTATAATAATAATAAGTAGCTACTGCGATTCGGCACATTAAACCGCAGATAAGCCATTAAGCTTTCATAGACCCCAAATAAACCATGGAAATATGTATTAACTATCAATATAACTTTCGTTGCCTAACAAAGAATTAAAGGCTTAAGAAAAAGATGAGTATAACATAATTAACTCATTTCCGAAAGACAATTAATGTGGAATTTTTCCTAATGATCAAACAAGGTTGTCATTCAACTCTTTCACGTTGCCATCTCTAAAAACAGTTGTGTTTACACAGTTTCTGTTGCCAGTTCAACCAACTCGTTTGTCTTGTCCAAAACACAATTAAATAGGTGCCCCCTTTAAGCCTCCGAGCCAAGAAACTCTTTGTCAGTATTGAACTTCTGTACACCCATTCGGTATTTAAGCTCTTGACGTTGATAAAGAGCCTCTGCTCGTTTATTTCCTGTATTTATTTCATTTGCTCATTTTGCATCCAACAATTAATGTTTTTGAGGTGACATCGCCGCCAGAAGAGTTTCGTTTGGAGATTAAATAACTCTTGTATATATATTTATACATTATATTATATATATATTTTCCACATCTATTTTCGTGCATCGCTGCACTTGAGGAGTGCGGAAGTGGTCCGTGCTCCGTGTCCACTTCCATTTTCCACTCCGCCACGATGTCCGTGCCCATCCGGCAACCGATTAAGTGTTTTGCACCGAAAACAAAACAAACCCCAACAAAACACAGGCCGATGCATGCAATAATATTGCAGTGAAACGATTTCCACAATTATGCAAATCGAATCCGACTGGCAATTATCACAGCCGCATGGCGGAAGTTCCAAGTGGAAAAGTGGCAAGATCACCCTGTAAGCCGCTTTCTTCTGATCTCAGATCGCAGATCTCAGTTCGGTTTGGCCCCTAATTAAATTAACCTTTCTGCCCGAAAGACGAGACAGAATACCCAGAAATGCGATGCGGAATGTCTCTATATTTTCCACACTCTTCCACTGACAAATCTCAATGGCTCGGCGAGGAGAGATCTGTAGTTCTTGGTACAAGACTTGAAATTAGCATAAAAAGCGGTTAATTTTGTGGGTTTTAATGAGATTTAATGGCTTAAATTTGCATCTTATTTAAGATCTTTAAACTATACTTAAACCTATTTCAAGAATGAGGAAATTATCTACAAACAGACCTCTCACCAAAAAACTAAACAGAAATGCGAAAATATATTTTTTAAAAATCATCATTACCCCTAAATATAAACCTATAAATATTATATGTACATATATATATATATATATATATATAATATTATTCTTCGAATTTTTCTTTTCAATAATTTTCCTAAGATCAACCCTCTTCCATAAATTTCTTTTCGTTGGCTCTTGTTAATTCCAATTTCATTGGCGAGGCGCCCCTCGCGACCCCAAAGTTCAATATCTGAATAATTGAATAAAACTTAGATTTCGATGCTGGGGTTCTGCCAGCGACTGCCATCTCGGGATCAGTTGCCTCGAATCGCGTAACGGGACTGGGGCTGCGATCTGCTCTATAAGGCCACGCGAATTCCGATCTTAACTCCAACGAACCGATTTGCTTTCAGTGAAAGTGAAGTGAAGTCTTTCGCTCACTTTGGCTTTTAGTTCGCCGGGTTTTCGCTTTGGGTGTTTTTATTTGGTATTAGCTTGTTGTTTTGGTGCTTTGGTTTTGGCCTTGCCGCTCACGTTTATCGCTCCCTGTGCTAACAAAGCGGAAATTATAGAAGTGTCATAAAGAAGCGAAAACGAAATGAAAATATTGACGACGGGCCGGAGATATTTGTCAACAAATCGTGACTGCATAAAAGAAATTCAAATTTCCAACAGCAAGTGCAGACGTTTTGAGGGCCCCTTTTAAGCCGTTTTAATGGATATTCCTCTGTTTAATTGGCTATTCGTATCGCTAGTCCAATTTCAGCCCTCTGGGTGTAATCTGACCCAGTTTTATTGGCTTACTGCCGCGATTGTTGGCCGTTCCCCTTCGATTTCACACCTTCGTTTTGGCCATCGCCCGAAGGCTGCGGCAAGTTCACGGCCGCTATACATTTCAAGTTAATTAAATCGACGTCTGTCGGTGGTGGGCAATGCAAATGTTTTTATGGCCAGGTGCCAGCAATCTGAGATAAGCGGCTCTTAAGCTGCGATCAAGTGCTCCAATTACGTGTCCGAATAGCCGAAGATTGTGTGTCGCCGGGCATCTTATCGAAAGGGCCTGTAATCTATGTCACATTGCTCAAAAATAGTTCATTATCAGGCGTTTTTGCAGTAATGTATCTGAAAGATAATAAGTGGAGGTTATTTTATCAATGGGGTGCAATATCAGAGCAAATAAAACAGACAACACTTGTTATCTATTCTTGATCAAAAAGTATTTTTGTTGAAATTCCGTCTATAAATAATAAGTAATAATCTTCACAAAACTTTCCATAAGATTGTATGCATTTTTTCACGTTCTCTTATAAGAACTATTCTGATATACAGAAATAACTTATTGTCAGAATTATCTGAGAGATAAAGAATGGAAGTTTTTATCGCAGCTCAACCCTTTTCATCGGAAAAAAAATAACTATTTGCTTTTGAAATTGACAAAAAAAAGCCTTTCATATGAATCTTCCCTCACATATATAAATGATATGGCATATCCAAAAACAATTAGGTACAAAAAAATAGGCCAAAAAGCCTCGCAAAATTATTTTGTAGACTAACTTGCTACATTTGCTTTGAACCAAAACCCCTAAAAGTCATACAAAATAATGAAATAATTGCGATAAATAAATGTTTGATTGCAACCAAGACAATTTGGCTATGTTTCCTTTTAAGACCCAAAGCTGAGACCTTTCTAATTGACTCGAAGAGCTGCGCAGTGTAGGCAATTGAGAAACCCATCAGATGACAACTGTCAACTGGTTGGCGAAACCATAAAGCCAAAAGTGATATCAAAACATTTGCAGTCGGCTGCGGATGACACCAAAAAAAGCGGTCACCAATTAATCTTGCCACCAAAACGCGCAATTGTGAAATGAGAAATCGAGAAAATGAAGCAAGTGACTCGTTTAATTGGCCCGCGGCGAATGGCAAACTCAGTGGCGAAAGAAGCCGCCAGCTATAATGTGTTTGCCTCCTCATCCAACTGCACCACCTCCGCCTCCTCCTCCCCCAAGAAATCCCCGCCAGCTTCGGGTGCACCTGCTCCACTGGCTCGAGTGCACAACTATGGCAGAGTGAAGTCCCAGCCGGCTGGCTCCTCACTGCCCTCCAGTTCGGCTGGGAAAATCCAGTACGCCGCTCTCAATCGCATGAGAAAAAAGAGATCCGAAGATGGAACCAAAAAGCTCAAAGGGAAATCCAAATGGCGACGCCTTTTTGGCAGATGTTTGTGGGGGAAAAAACGACGTCAAAGGAACTATCAGGATTATTGGAGCAGTGCTACTGGAAAGCCAAAGAAATCTCTATTTTTCTGTTACTGCTGCAAAAGAAGAACAAAGAACTACGACTACGATTCCGAGGAGGAGGATGATGATATTGACGCCAAGGTGGCTTCCTATATTGCGGAAATGAAGCAACGGGAGGCGGTGGCCAACGGGCAAAGTGAGGAACCAGTTGAAGAGACCACAAATCCTGTTCCCCAGGAGCAACTGCAACAGCTTCCTCCTAAAATGCGATCTCCTGTTTTAGTTAAAAGAAGAGCTTGGACTTGGGACGATAGTTTGAGATCTAATTCGGACAGGTTTCTTGAAACCCTCGAAGAGGATTTACCAATATCGTGTGAGGAAGTTGTTGCTACTGCTCCTGGTGGCAGGACTTCGTTGATCCTGCACCGACGCACTCCTCTGCATGTGACCTTCGTGGAAAACGAGGATGAGGATGAGGATAGGGAGGAGCATCTTGAGCAGGAAAGGGGTGCGCTGCAAGGTAGGCGGCAACTTCATCGGTTCATCGGCTTCGTCCGCCTGCCACCAACTGCATGCTTCTTGCACCGATGCCCCAAGATGCTCCTCCTCACAAATCCCATATTGCACTTGCAAAAATTGTATAGTTATTTGGGATCTAATTTTATAAAGTTCTATAAATTAATATATTTTTTGGGGTTGCCACAACATTTTGTTTAGAGTTTCAAGATTTAACATTACCCTACCCATCAATTTCTGAGAATTGGGTTAATTTTCATTAACATTCATATCATATGAATGCACTGAATAAGCTGAAAATAAAAAGACAAAAAATTGCTCGATTTAACTTAATTCAGCCTCGCTTTGGCCTTCTAAATTACGAGCATGATGAACCCAACCTTAACCCACAATAATTGCAAAGAACTTTTAATTTAGATCACGTTACTTTTAGATAAGTAAAGACTAAGTAGCAAAATCAATAATTATCAACATTAGCTAAAACTGCAATCAAACTATTTTCAACGATTGACGACGATCGTTAATGCTAAAAATACCATTCGACTATTTCCATCGATTGTCGGCGATCGTTAATCATCGGCTCACATAGATCATTAGCCTTAATTGAGGAAAACTCGAGTGCTAATTGATGAATTTTCTCTTTTTTCTTGCAGAGGAGGCCAAAGTGGCCGCCGAGGAGCTGTCGCGATCGCCGGTGATGGGACAACGACATGGAGATGGCACCGGCAGTCCCATCCAGTCACGTGCCTCCAGCGAAACGTGGCCCACTCAGTCGGATGAGGACATCGATCGCCTGGTGGCCATGCACCAAAACAGGAGCAGTCTCAGTTCTCTGGGGGTAAGATAAACCCTTCTTTCAAACCAGTAATTACTGATTAATTAATTTAATAACTTTACCATTGATAGGTTCGCTCGGAGTCGATGGCCAGCGTTTATTCGGGTGCCGGTGAGGGTCGCTATGGCACCGTGGTGGTCAAAGGTCAAGTGGAGTTCGCCATGCAGTACAACTACAAGCTGAGTGCCCTGGAAATCCACGTGGTGCGCTGCAAGGACTTGGCAGCCGTTGATGCCAAACGCAACAGGAGCGATCCTTATGTGAAGGTGGGATTTATAATCCTTTTCCCTAGAAATATTCTTTTTAATTCTATGACTGTATATTTTTTTAGGTATATCTTCTGCCCGACAAATCGAAGGCCGGCAAGCGCAAAACCAAAGTCAAGAAGCACACGCTGAATCCCATCTTCGATGAGACGATGCGCTTCCACACTCCCATTTCCAGTCTGGAGTCGCGAACTCTTTGGCTGACGGTGTGGCACTCGGACATGTTTGGGCGGAACGACTTCCTCGGCGAAGTCAGTGTCAATTTGCAGGGCCGCCTCTTCGACAATCCCCAGTCGCAGTGGTACCTCCTTCAAGAACGCGTAAGTTGACAAACCCTTTTCCCTAAAATATTAATATAATTATAAGAGAGGTATAAATACATTTTTTTTGGTTACTTTTTTGCAAAAGATAGAAACAAATAGTAATTCAAGATAAAAAAAATTGTGTGAAAACAATCTAGTTTACTGATTTGGTTATATTAATTCCTAATTGTCCTAATTTTACAGAGCGAACCCTTCGATGAAGTAGCCACCTATAGAGGCGACATTGTGGTGGGTCTGAAGTACATTCCTCCAGAGAAAGTGAAGTCCTCCTTCTTCTCGCGCGGCTCCTCGGTAACAGGAAGCTCCTCAAACTTGCGTAAGTTTGGGGGCAGCATAAAGTCGGTAACCTCGAAATCAGAACGGACTTCAAAAGGAGGCCAACTACACGTGTTGGTCAAGGAAGCCAAACACCTGAGTCCCATCAAGGCCAATGGAACCTGCGACGCCTTCTGCAAGAGGTAAGCTCTCAAGTTTAATTTAATAATTATCAGTTACTAATTATATTCTTTACTTTACCAGTTATTTATTGCCCGATCGCACGCGGAGCTCCAAGCAAAAGACACCTGTGGTGAAGCGCACTTTGCATCCCAGCTGGAATTATACCTTCGTTTACGAAGATGTTTCCCTGGAGGAATTATCGGAAAGAGCTTTGGAGCTAACCGTTTGGGATCACGATCGACTGGCCAGCAATGAGTTTGTTGGCGGCATCCGTTTCTCCCTGGGAACTGGTAAGTTTTAACTACCTATTCCCATCCGAAATCCTTTTAAATAATTATTTTTAATAGGTCGCAGTTATGGAAGGCAAGTGGAGTGGATGGATGCCACCGGCAAGGAGCTCTCCCTCTGGCAAAATATGCTCGATCGACCCAACTTTTGGGTGGAGGGCAGCCTGGTACTGCGTTCCAGTTTAGATGGCATAAGAGCCAATTTGCCATAGGCCAACCTCGAAGATTAGAAAACGTATTGTTTAGAGCCAAGACAAACCACAAAAGAGCAGTTCAAATTGCCAATGGCAAGCTGCATTGTATTGTATTGTATTAATTATGCGATAATTATCAATTAACGATCACTACGACTCTGAGAAGCATTACTAGCGTTTTAAGACAGAAGGAAGACGATTGTAACATTCACAATTTAGTGTTAACAGTGTGGAACGATGATTTCTGAATACTCGAATACGTCGAAATATGGCGATGACGCTGCAAGTAGCGCAGTTCCGCCAAAAACAAAAAGCAAAGTAATCAAGGCAGACATGAGAAACTAAGCAAGAAAAACAAACCTTATCAAGTTTATGGCACTAATTGTAAGCGCAATTCTCAGCTATTCGATGCAGATAAAAACTACAACTGTAAAGCAAAACGATGTGGCCCCAAGGTTGGGCTGTCTAGATCTTAAGAGAGTTTGTATGTGTGTGTTTTTTTTCCACCCCCCTCCAACCCCCTCTCCCCTTTCGAGAGGCATTCGCAATTGGCATACTATATGCGCTAAACTACGATAAACCTACAAACTAAAACGTATCGTTAAAACCTAGTTAAATCGAGGCATAAGCTTACTATGTATAACTATCCATAATATCCGAGAAAAATACAAATAACATTTTTGTAAATTCAACGTTTTTGGTTTTTGTTTTCCACTCTTTCGTTTCGTAGATCGTAAGTGAACGGTATTCTAAAGTGTATGCATATATATATATCTATCCTGACATCATACATATCGCGAACATTGTGCAAATCCAGCTAAGCTTCATGCCACCAATTTACCTGAGAAGGTAGATGTACCCACCACAGCAATCAATGAATCAATCAATTCCCATAGCAGCCAAATATATATATATATATCACCTCCCTCCAGATCTGGATATTGTGGACTTTATATAGGCATATTGTACGGATACCCTTTAGGTCTTAGGGCAGCTCTATAAGATGAATTGTTTCAGAGAAATCACTTTTATAAATACAAAAACGAGTCTTATGAATGCTTTTGGTGTAAGTGGATATTTACCATGATAAAAATACAAATATCGATAATACAAAAAATAATATTTAACGTTGAATGAAACTTGACAAACAAACAAAAATTTATAGAAGATGTTTTTTATAAATGAAAATTGCTGAATCACTCGTTGCCTAAATACCGCTTGTCTTTTATACTCGATGTTTTCGAAACACCACACACAAAATGCACACACGCCTGAAATTCGGTGATGATCACGATGTAGGACATAGAGTACATTAAAACACACACTTTTTGGTAGATAATGGCTCACCACGAACGAAGTTGATTATGATGTTGATATTGATATTGATATTGAAGCTATAGAAATCGATGTGACATAGAATACTTTCTCTAAATCAGCATATGATACATGTCAAACAATAAGCAGCAATTATTGCAAAAGTATGATAAATGGTATTTAGTAGCATAGAAAAAGCGCAAGTAGGAATCCACACAGATACTAATTCTACCCGCAAATAGTTCATAATCTAAGGTTGAAGCGTTTGCTGTTGGTTGGCTCCCTAATCTAGCCATAAATTTTGTTGGGAGCCCAATCACACCCACACCTAATATACATATATACACCCACACACATACACGCCCAACACACACACACACACGTAGTGTTAGTTTATTCCCTCTAAAAAGTCTCCAAAGTTTCAATGTTTACTACATGTATATTTTTCTACTACTTACTATGTACTTACCACCTAAATCAAGAATATCACTCACCGCAGGCGGTTGTGTTTTAACAATCGCCAGGCGGTCTTTACTTATCCACTTACTCACTGAGATGGTGCTATATAGTCGTATATATGTATAGGATATATAGGATACAGTCTCAGGTCGCGAGAGAACTATGAGAGATCTTTTTACCTTTTTACTGTGTATAGTACGTGCATTTCGGATTCAACTGGACAACTATTGTGAACTAGTGTTGATTATATAATATATATAATGCCGACTTCACACCTACCTATGTACTTTATGCATATACATCTACTGAGATACACTAATGCTAACCCCTTTACAAGCATTCCGTAGTCTTAAGCGATCCGAGGAGGGTGTTTGTTGTTTAGCCCCAGTTTGCAGAGCCCCTTAGTTTTAGGCGATTTCTATAGAGCGTTTTTGACGTTTCCGTTGCCAGACAGAAAAAAAAAACAAAAAGAACACACAGATTGTAGTTACAGATACTGATATCAGAAATATTTATGTACCCATTGTATTTGTTAGCATTCGCCAGAATTGCTCATAGAATATTATTGAATAGCGAACCCCAAGGAGAATATGTTTAGGCCCCTCCAAAAGGACACATGTTGCGTTAATGTAGAGAACTTTTTTAGCGAATACACACATAAGTTACACAAATATACATAGTAGTAGATGATGATGATCTGAAAGTTAAAAAAACGCTGCGGTTGCCTTCCTAAAAGCATTAATCTTAGTCCTTTCACAGCTGACACTGATCGTATTTCCCTGAACTGCCCTGAGAACAATCTTTTGACCCCATTTACATAAATCGTTTTACATTGATCTAATACTTATGCTCAGTTAAGGTGAAACTCTAACTTAAGTTGGTCCCTGTGCTGAATCACCGATTATTGGATTGGTAGGCGAAAGTCTTTTTAGTTTCCAATCGGGCTTTTGTAATCTGGTAAGCAGCGACAGGGCCCTAAATCACTTCTCGCCACGTCTTTACACTTAGAATTAAGATTTAAGAGAACTTGGACCTTTGGTCAGTCGGTTTTGCAATGCGGAAATCCCAGTTGAGATACCGCGAAAATTGTTTAGTGCTAGTGTTCGTAAGACTTTCCATGGCAATTGGCTGGCTGGTGGGGCGAAGCGATCAAATTGTAGCCATTATGTTTGTGGCATTTAAGCGTTACATAATTACAAGAGTTTACATAACCATTTACAAGATACAAGATACTTATGACCCTTTTACTTACAAGTAAGTACTTAATACAAAAAGGCAACAATACCGACAAACACACGATTCCAACAAGCTCAATACAAGTTGCTAAGTTAAAATTGTGTTAAATTTTGTGAACAGCAGTGAATCAATAAAATAAAGCAAACTTCACATCTATTGACAACTTTCGCAACTGCCGTGTCCACCTTTCTTTTCTCGGGAAAACCCTTTGGGGTTTTCCATCGAAAGTCTGTGGGGAAATACTTTGATTGGGCTCTCCTCTCTACACTTCCGCTTCCGCTTCGGATTTTGTTTGTCCATTGAGCCGGTGCAACTTCAGCTCCTCGCCGGGTTCCTTGGCCACATCCTCGTCGTTCCTCTGCCAACAGTCGAAGGACAGCATGGACTCGCCCTTGCCAAAGTCCTCGCCGTCCGCCAAAGTGATGGGCAGTTGTCTGCGGAGTGGGAAAAGGTAAATATTTAAAATGAGTCCTTTCTTATTAAATATTATCTCAATAAATAGGCATGTTGTAGGCAAAGCAATAGAAACATGTCATGTAGAAATAATACATACATATTAAAAAAAAAAAATTTTATTCTAGGATGCCACTAAATGAATTAAGAATTTATTTAATTTTTTTATAAGGAATACGAGTACTGTATTTTGACTTTAAAAACGAACTAACTTTAAAGACAAGGTTTAAGCACAAACATAATATAAATTTTCAAATTTAAAGATTTTTAAATTCCCTTAAAAATTTCGTTTCCCCTTCTGTTCCGTTCTCCCATTGGAAAGTCTGCCCTTTCAACACTCAAAACAATGCTTCTATCTCCCCCTGAATTCCTGTTATTTTTTTCGCATTTGGCACTTTGGCATTCCCTTTGACACTCACCTGTTGTTCGTTTCCGGCAGAAGGAGCGTGCAAACGGAGGCGGTCAGCAGAAGGAGCGCCAAAATGAGGGAGGGGGCGGCGGCCAGCTTGGTGCCCAGGTGAATCAGATAGGGTGACACAAAGGAGGCCCCCGCGGCGGCCAGGTGCACTGCAGCAATGCCCCGCGAACGCACACAGGTGGGCAGCAGTTCGGAGGCAAACTGCGAGGTGACCGTGTAGCACATGGAGATGCCCAGTCGCATTGGCAGGGCGAAGGCCAGCAGCAAGGTCACGTTGCCCTCCGCCCCATCGGTGGAGAGGGCCACGCCCAGAGCGCAGGAAAGCAATCCCGTGCAGAGCATGGCCAAAAAGGCCGTGGCCTTGCGACCCACTCGACTCTGCAGGAGTCCCTGGATGAAACCCGAGGGCGGAACTGCCAGGGCAAACAGCGAGAAGACGACAAACGGGGAGAGGCCCAGTCCCTCCACATTCCGGGAAATCGTGTTAAAGCTCAGCGATGTCAGCATGCTAAAGGTATGAAATTATACGGAAAAGGTAACCCAGTTAAATTAGATTGCTCGGCATCAAAATAAAAGCACAAAATACTTTCGCAAAAAATGTGCGCTTTTCCCACCCAATGAATTTAATATATTATTAACAAATAATATGAACATTGCCAAATATTTAAAAATATAAAACTAATACAATAAAACATCTGATCTTTCTAATATATTAATAACTAACTTACTATTAACAACAATTATATTTCCTACACTTATACTCACTCAATTCTTTACACGTACATTTTATTATTATACTTACAATGTAATCACCACCAAAAGCGATGTTTTCCTTAGATTTGGAGTCCTCAGCAAATCGAAAATTCCGGCCGTTTGTTCAGGTTGATTTGATAGCTTCCTTTTGACGATGCAGTTTCTGCGGAAGGCCTCAAAGTCGGAAGCCTTCACCTCCCTTCCGTTGAAGTGGGCGATGTGCTTTAGCCTGGCAATGGCACCCTCCACATTAGTCCTTGTAATTAGCCACTGGGCACTCTCCTGCACCACAAAGTAGAAAAGGGCCACCACCAGTTGAAGGAGTGCCGAGCAGGTCAAGTAAATCCTCCAGTTTCCTGCCAGAACAGAAAGCCAGGGAGCCACCAAAGCACCCAGGCAAAAACAAACGCCCAAGGTTCCACTTATGGCCAAGTTCCTTAGTTTCGGAGCCAAGTATTCCAGAACTGCAAAATGAATTTAATACTTAACAAGTTATAAAGTATTCCAGTGTTTCAACAATCTTTTAAAGGGAAAACAGCGTTCTAAAAACTTATTTACATACGTAATCACAGAAAAATTTAATGAAGCACGTTTGTCGCGATATGAGCTCAAAAACCTTTGCTGTTATAAAAGTAATGTCAAATCTTTATGGTCTTGGGGTTTATTTACACCCGAAAATTGGCATTACATGGAATTAACTCAGTTCGTGAACCAAAGATAAGTTTACTCTTTGTTAAATAGAAATCTCTCTGTGAAAATATTTTACCAGATGCAAACAACATTACCCTAATGGCCTTTTAAACTTAATTTGATGCGTAACATGGGAAGTATTTAAGGCAATTATTACTAGTAGACACTGTTGTTGACTCTGACTTATATATATGCCAAAGCTTTTCCAAGATCTACAAGATCCAAGATCCCCAACGCGGGAGATCAAGATATCGCAATGCTTACCCAGAATAAACATCAGATAATAATTAGCCGTGGCAGCGAGTCCAGAAATGCATCTAAAAATGGCAAAGTGCACAAGATTCGAGGCGTAAGTGGTTAGGAAATCCCCCACAAATCCACACTGATTGGCCAGGATTACAGCTGTCACTCTGCCAATTTTATCGCCCAACATGCCAAAGGTAAAGGTTCCTATTAGGGATCCAAGGAAAAAGAGGGATTGTCCAATGCGCGCCTTGTAGGCATCTTCGCAAACCCAATTTAGCTGGAAAAATAGAGATGATATTTTAAGCTGTTATACTTTATATTAATATCTTTTATTATTTACTTCCGCATTCATGCTCCTGAAACCGAAGTCGTAGTCGTATATCCATCGCTGGCAGGTCTCATTGCTCACCGTGACCTGATCTCCCTCGATCTTCTCTAGCCGCGTGCAGGATGCCTCCTTCCCAAATGGAGCGTAGATGGCGGCGATCTCCTCGAAACTGCGGTTCACCAGAGCCTCATGATAGCACCAGTGCTTTGGCACGAAGCCAATTATGTTCTGCGAGTAGTAGTGCACGGTGGTCGTAAAGGCCACATAGCCGAGCAGCAGAATCATGAGGTACTGATAGCGACCCGCACTGCCGCACTTCTCCAAGATCTGGTCGAAATCCATGCTGTTCTGCTCTCGCTGAGATTCTATTAAGACTAAACCCCACCGATCGGAACGAAGGCGAAAAGCGTTCCGATTTAAAAAAAAACAATCCGAGACGGAGCGAAAAGAGTGCAAGGTGGCCGGATTCGCACGATGAGTCCACGTTCTATGTACGATAAGATTGTTTTGGGGGCGGCTTATCGCCTATATGGCGGCGGGTCTCTCAACTGGCAGCACTTTATTATTTAAGTGAGTTCCCTCTCATTCACTCGAATCTTAACAATCGCCGGCGTCTCGCGAGAAGGAAAGCCTTCTCCGACATAGATAAAAATGAAAAAAAAATAGAAAGACGCGGCGTGACCTCTGATTTGTGAATCAAACACATGAACAACAATGCAGGCGGGAAGTATCATATGTAGGTTGAATGGACTCTTAATAAACTAATAAAACCAAAACAACAAAGTGCCGCCCCTTCTCAAATGTAATATTAGTAAGGTCAAGATTGCGCTTGAAGAAAAGCAGGAGTGACAGGCTAAATTCCCCAGCACGAACATTCAAATACTCTCGCATTTCATTTTGCATGGAGAAATTGTGTTCTTTTAAGTACTTAAATCATTATTTTTATAAAACCACTAAGCTAAAACTTTTATACTGTCAATAATACACAAGCTAAATATTTAAAAAACAATTTAATAACTGCGTTCATTTCCTTAACTTATTTTAATGCTCACAAATACTAAAATAACAAAGACCCTGAGCATGAATCAACAAATTACTTAATGATGTCTGAAACTTTTATTATCCAAACTCTCAACAATAATAGTTATTACTGTATTGTCAGCTTAATTTTTATCTTTTAATTTATTTATTTCACATTGTTATGTTCTAAGTATTTTTATTGAAAGTCTAAATACCTTTATTGCGTTGCCTCGAACAGTCGTCTAGATAAGTAGATACATTCTTTTGACTATAAATATTTAGTTCCTAATATATAGCCAACCATTTTGTAATCCTTATTTTGTATAGATACTTAAATCTCATTTTACAAATAACAACTAAAGTAATGTTAAGTAATAATAATTAATATTTTTCAACCATACAGTCATGATTAGGCACTGTTAATTTCAACAAAGGTAATTAAATGCAGTTTTCTGAATTGGAGCAATACTAAAAACATAAACATTAAGTACGACTACTCCGCCATAAGTTTTTCGTTCGTGCCCGCACTGAGATCGTGTTGATCTTCCTTATTGGTGCTCCTCAGAAAATCAAACATCCTTTCGTTCTTGCCAAACTCCTCACCTTCGGCTAAGGACATTGGAAGCTTTTTGTTTCTCGTTTCAGGCAGGAGTAAACAAATCCATGCACTTAGCAGGAGCAAAAGGCACAGGATTATCGAGGAGGCAGCTCGGAAATAAGTGTCCAGGTGCAGAATGTATGGCGAAAGGAAGGAGAAGGCTGCTCCCGTGACGTGGATCACCGCCAAGCCACTCGATCTTACGCAGGTTGGCATTAGTTCGGCAGAAATCTGCATGGTGGATCCCGTGATCACAGAAATCCCGAATCGGGATACCAGTAATAAACACACCATCACCGTGGCACTTGGTTGTGTCCAGAAGGTCAGCAAAATCCCTGTAGCCGCCGTCATCACTCCAGTGGCCGTCATACTAACCACTGAGGTGAACTTTCGACCCAAGTTCTTTTGGACTTGAGTCTGAAAAATTCCCGAAGGAGGCAGTGTCAGCGCGAAAAGGGTGAACATGACAAAAGGTGAGATAGTCAGTCCTTCCACATTGCGGGACATTGTGTTGTAGCAAAGCACCGTTATTGAGCTGGAAAAAAATATGTTTAAATAAATCGAAATTCTATTTATAACAAGAATGGAAGCTAGCTTCGGCGAGCCGACCCTTATATGTATACCCTTGGAGTACCACAAAATCTGATTAAAATAAGAAAAGTTATGAACTGAATGGTAGTGAATTTTAGTCAATTTTCAGCAAACCCATTTTTTTGGAAATTTGGAAAGAAGTTGCGTCATAAAAATTTAAAAAAATCGGCCAAAAATAAAAAAATTTCCAATGATGCAGTTTGTTAGAGAATTAAAATACAAACGATTAGAGGTATGCCGCATCGAAAACGGATGAAAATAAGAAATGTTATAAAGTTTGAATTATTGAGTTTTGATTAATTTTCAGCAAACCTATTTTTTGGAAATTCGGAAACGGGCTGTAGCTCGCTATTATTGAAATGTTTTTCCATTTCCAAAACTCTTTAAATTTACTTACAAGACAACCAGCACGTAGATCAATCTGATTCGAAGGCGTGGAAACTTGAGGGCATCGATGAGACGCGACTGCTTCTGCAGGGAAACCTGGCTGCTGGCCTCCGACTCCTTGATCTTGCAGTGCTGCCGGAACAACTCGAAGTCTGTCTCACTAACCTCCCTCCTATTGAACTTGGCCACCCGGCGCAGCCTCAACTCAGCTCCATCGATATCGTGACGAGTGACCAGCCACTGGGCGCTCTCCTGCACCAGAAAGTAGAAGCCAGTGACCAGCAATTGGGGAAGTGCAGACCAGGCCATGAAGGGTCGCCAACCGCCCAACCAAACCGCTTGCCAAGAGGCACTTATCATGCCCAGACAATACCAAACAGACATGGTGAGGTTTAGACCCACACTTCGCATCGTTGGCGAGACGTACTCCAGCACTGAGGTGTTTGAAGAAAAAAGAGTTAATACCAGATAAGTCAAAGAGCTGTAAAGTGATAACGTACCCAGAATGTACATGAGGTAGGCGTTGGCCTCAGCAGCCAGGCCCGAAACGAACCGGCTGGCCGAGAAAGTGATCAGGCTTTCGGCGAAGATGGTGGCCGAATCGCCGAGGAAGCCGCACCAGTTGGCCAAGACCACGGCTCTGATGCGTCCGATCTTGTCACCCAGCAGGCCAAAGAGGAGAGTGCCGCACATGGAACCCACAAAGAACAGGGATTGACCCACTCGCGCCTTATAGGCATCATCGCAAACCCAATTTAGCTGAGGGATTAAAAGATACTCCTAAGTGAGATACTTTAAAGAGGCTTTCGGCAGAGAACTCACATCTGCATTCATGCTCCTGAATCCGTGATCATAGTTGTAGATCCATCGATTACAGGGTTCCTCGCTGGCCGTGGCATTACCACCATCCTCATCGATCGACGCCAATCGCGTGCACGAAGGCCTCTTGAATGGGGCGTAAATTGCAGCTATTTCGGCATAGCTCCGGTTCACCAGCTGTTCGTGATAGCACCAATGATCGGGCACAAAGCTAATGACGCTCTGGGCGAAATACTGCCGGGAAACGATGAACATTAACAGGCCATAGAGGGCCAACAGCATGTACTGGTAGCGATGGCTGTCGCCGCACTTGGCCAGTATCTCCTCAAAGTCCATGGCCGAAATCCCCGGGTGATGCAGATGCACTTGAACGGCACCGAAAAACAAACAAAAACCTCCGGGTCCTGAGGTTCCGCGGTCCGCTCTCTTCCGCTGCCACGCACATACTGTCGCTCTACCAAACGCACATATCGCCAGTCCGCTCCGGCATTTTGGTATGCGGTCCGCTCTGCCATCAGCCACCAGCTAACAGCCGCCAGCCACCAGCCACCAGCGGCAAATAGTTAAGAGCGGATTGTGAAAGCGGCTGCGGTAAACTGATATTGGAGTTGAATAGTTGAATCGACTCTTGGGGCTCTCCGCTGCGCTGATAAGTAACCCGCTGGACAATCATAACTTTAGCGTCCTGATTTAATTATTACGCTTGATAAGCGGCTTTGTTGTAATCGGCAATCTACTATTCAAAATATACAACTGTGTTACTGCTAATTTATACGGACAACTTCGATGATGCTGAACGCTTTACAGCCGTCGCACAAAGTGGTGTGACTATTCTTTTTATGCTCAAACAAACTAAGCTCTGAGAAATGTATTCAAATCGTTTATTTATCTCTTTTAATTTCGGGCTGCAGGTTTGCGTTTTTATTTTTGGTAATAACTTGTTGAAATTAGCATATGCTTTCGTCAAATATTTTGTTTTGCATTTTATTTTAGTTTGTGTTCTATTCGGGTTTTGAACTTTTTATATGGTCAAGGTCGTAATAACCAATATAAATGCTAATTTCGATGTTCTTAGTTTTATATTTTACAAATTAATCATAATTACATATCTTTGATGACATGTGAAAGGGAATGACATAAATTAGCATTGAATGACCAAATAAATTATTAGTATTTGATAACCGAGTATATGAACATTAGATTATTTTCGGTTAAGACTATGAATTACAATTTAAAGATAACAAAATTCACTATTGCTAGGCGGTTTTTGTCATAAGAGTGTCTTCTTCCACGGGTTTTGTACTCATTTCGACTGGAATATCGGAAGTGTCTGCCTTTCGCGGCTTCGTAATAAAATCAAATACGCCTTCTCCTCGGCCAAATTCCTCTCCTTCGGCCAAGGACATTGGAAGTTTTCTGTTCCGAGTTTCTGGCAGTAGCAAGCACACATAAGCTCCAGATAGAAAAAGGAGCCCCAAAATAATCGAGGGAGCTGGCTTAAAGTAAGTTCCCAGGTGCAAAATGTAGGGTGAAAGGAAAGAGGCGGCAAAACCTGCCACATGGACCACTGCCACGCCCCTTCCTCGCACACTGGTCGGGATTAGTTCCGTGGAGAACTGCGAACTGGCTCCATCGGCGATGGAAACTCCGAATCTGGCCGCCAAAGTCAGTCCCACCAGTAGCACCACGTTGCGATTGCTCCCCTGCGATATCACCAGTCCTGCAGCTGCGGCAAATATTCCCGTGATGGTCATCCAACTGACCGAGGTAGCCTTGCGACCGATGCGATCTTGGAGGAGGCCCTGGAGGTAACCCGAAGGCGGGAGGGTCAGGGCGTTCAGCGAGAACATGATGAAAGGCGATATGCCCAGACCCTCCACATTTCGAGCGATCGTGTTGTAGCAGGGTGTAATAATTATACTGTGGAGGAAATTAACAGAAATTATTATAAGAAAAAGATTATTCACAAAATTTAATAAATAAAAAATCCAATGGAAAAACTGAGAATATAAAATGATATTAATTACATAAGCTTACTTTTAATTAATAATCTCATATTCAGTGGATTAATTTTCCCATATTGAGTTGAAAAATAAAAGTAAACACTTACAATATAAGCAATAACTTGATTGCAGTACTGCGCATGCGCGGCGTTTTCAGCATGTCCAGCAGTTTGGCTTGACTTTGCTCCGCCTCCTTGGCTTCCTTTCTATAGTGTTGTTCACAGTAGCTGCGAAACGTCTTAAAATCTTCATCGGGCACCTGTCGGCGATTGATTTTTGCCACTCTCTGCAGCCTTTTTATAGCACCATCGATGTCATTCCGCGTGACCAACCACTGGGCACTTTCCTGAACCAGAAAATAAAACAAAGTAACCAGGAGCAGTGGAACTGAGGAGCAGGCCAGGAATATCCGCCAGTGGCCAACCCAAACCGCCAGCCAAGATGCACCAATCAAACCGAGACAATAAAAGCTGCCTAAAACTGTATTAAGTCCCACGTTTCTCAGCGAGGGTGAGACATATTCGAGAACTGTTCAAAAAGCAATTAAGTTAGTCATTTCAAAACATTTTTTAAGTGGTACTCACTAAGTATATACATGAGATAAGAGTTGGCATCGGCTGCCAGGCCAGATATAAAACGACTGACAGAAAACGAAACCAGACTATTGGCGAATATGGTCGAGAAGTCGCCCAAAAAGCCACACCAGTTGGCCAAAATCAAGGCCTTGATTCTTCCAATACGATCGCCAAGCAGGCCAAAAACCAGAGTTCCAAATACCGAACCCACGAAAAAAAGAGACTGGCCCACTCGTGGCTTATAAGCCTCATCGCAAACCCAGTTCAGCTGGAAATATATTAAGCTCAATAAGTTGCATTTAAATAAATTAAATTACAAGTTTTTTTTTAAAGGCGTTCCAAATAAATATTAAAATGTGGCTCGATTTTTTACCCAAAAAAACTAATTATTAGATTGCATAGCACTTAAAGTAATTCTTTATAATTGGTTTTAAAATTGAAAGTGTTATTTTTGCCGAACGCCCCTTCACAAAAACTTTGTAGACTCACCTCTGTATTCATACTTTTGTATCCAAAGTCGTACTTGTAGAACCACCGATTGCAACGCTCATTGCTGAGCGTGTGATTCAGTCCATCCTCATCTATTTTTTCGAGTCGCGTGCACGAGGGTTTCTCGAACTGCGAATAAATTGCCTCGATCTCGGCGAAGCTGCGATTCGCCAGCTGTTCGTGATAACACCAGTGGTCGGGCACGAAACTGATGACGTTCTGTGAGAAGTAGTGCATCGAAACGACGACCATGAGGTAACCATACAGGGCCAAGAGCAGGAACTGATAACGACTGCTGTGGCCGCACTTGGCCAAAATCTCCTCGAAATCCATGTTCCTGATAGCAGATTTTTGCGGCCCCCAAACTTTACCGGCATTCGCAGAGGTTTGATAAGCGCATATCTGAGGGGTCTGGCATTTATGGCGATTGGGAGTCAGCTAATCGCCAGCTGGTTCTCAAAATCGGTTTATTAGTCCCGGAGAACCGAGTGCTTTTCGAGGGTTTTTAAGGCTTCGAGGGTTTATTGAACGCTGTGAAAACCCGTTCCCGATGTGTTCTGCTGACACGGAGCGCACATAGCCAACTGGTTGAGCCTGAGACCCAGAGTCGAGTGCCCAGTTCCTCAATTTGGGGAACAATATCTCTCCATAAGAGAGAACTGCTTACATGAGAGCCACTGCCACTTTTTTCGATTCACTCACGCGCTCATTCAATTATGCGGCATTTGAAAAAAAAAAAACGGAAAAAAAATAACACTCGGCACGTTCGGGAGCGGAATGCGGTTTGAAAATTTGCACTGCATTTACAAAATTTGAATTTCAATTAACTTCAATTTTCGCCACTTGGCGACCAATGAAAACCAGCCGATCAAGCCATGAGTTAACTTTGATTGATTGATATAAAAGTAAACCACAAATTTGTGTATCTTAATTACTTATTGATTTTAAAATGCAACGAGAATTGCTGGCAATTTGAAAACAAGAAAGAAGGATATTATGAAACTTACCCAAAAACAGCATTTAATAAATAAAAACACTTTTTACATATAAATTTTTATTGCTTTTATTTTAGTTTTTTTTTCATTTATATGTGTTTATCAATTACATTTGCGGTTTAAATGGATACATGTCTACATTTGCTGCCTTTTGAATATATTATTATTAGCTTTAATATGAATCATAATTGTCGGTTTCCTTCACTTCTATGTCTGTCTGGATTTATAAATGTAGTAAACGCAGTTTCGTGATAACATGATAGATAGACCCTATTACATTTGCCTTCCGACTTAAATAGAATACATACATAATTAGGTAGTATATCAAACTGTACATACATACATTAGATGCGATGTGTTAACTAAATTTGATTAACAACTAAACTACTTAGCCGTCCTAGTACGAGTAAATTTAAATGTAGTTTTGAGTAAATAGGCAATGGTGCAGGATAACTAACTTAAGACTCTTACAAAGATGCACACATTCAACTCGATACGATCTAAATAATACATACAGATAGTGGGTAAGGCATACTTTGCATATGCTACTAATAAATAGTCGAAGAAACCATCATTTATATAGACTAAAGCCCTGAATGGTTAACGGGGTAAAAAAACAAACAGTACGATCAATCCGATTCAGTCACAATTCACTTCAATTCACTTCAATTCAATTCAATTACAATCGCTCATTGCAGGGCTCTTGGATATCCAAGCTGAATAAACTAAAATCAACATTATATACGTCACATAACATTATACTACAGCTACATACATATATTTCTCATACTTCCTCCGATAATTACAAAAAATGTGTGAAAGAGGGTTTGAAAACAAAGACTAGTTTAGATATGATAGTTAAACACCTGCCAACTGCCACCTGCCCCAAGATTTTCAAGTGCACTCAATGCTGTCATAGAAGATCTCTTCATCTGGTTCGGGATCGGATAGCTCCTCCTCGAAATCATCGACGTCGTAGGAAATCAGAGACTGGAGGCTGTCATCGAGCAGCTTGTGCTGCACATGATGCACCTCAAACAGTTTGGCGTCCTTCTTCTCCTTCGGCGGAGTGCCAAACCAAATGGCGCCCTCTGCATCCGCATCCACATTAGCGTACCCATCACCATATTCGGGATCAGCGCCTTCGCCCCGATCATCCTCCTTCGCCGCAGGATCAGCTCTTGCCTCGATAGAGTCACTGTATCCATAGTCGAAGGTGACCAAGAGATTGTCGCTGCCACAATCCATGGAATCGGGCGTTGTGTACTCCGTGTAGTAGGAATCGTAGGCCGTCTCCTCGGAAACATCGTGCAGCTCATGCGGCAGATAGGGTTCCATCTGAACTCTCCCCTTGCTGCTGCTCGTTTGCCACAGTTGCCAGTTTTGGTTATTGACACGGAAATTTGGCATTTCAACAACGGGGTTGACCAAATTCTAAGCATCATGTTCGGGGGATTCGGGGAAGAGCAAAGAAAAACAGAATAGAATATCAAATCTTGGTTCAATGCGCAATCAAGCAATGAGAAAAATAACAAATAACGAAACAAGAAAAGGGATTTTAGACAGCTGTTTAGGCACATTAACAAAAGAAGTAAGATCGTTAGAATAGTAAAAATAGTTTTTGGGGTTAGCAAGTAGCGGGAGAATCGATCGATTGGATAGCGGTTAGAACCTCAACCTCGGGCACAAAATATATATATATTTTATATCGGTTAGCACAGAGCGATCAATCAATAAACCAATCAGTATATGTACAGCGTGTAAGTCACTCATTTCGTTTACCTTACTTGGCATTTTTAAAAAGTTGAGAATTGAGAATTTGTGTTTTTTGGTATGTGCACTGCCCGGTTGCTTTTGTAGAAAGGGTGAGGGTCTAGGTCTAGATAGTCTTGGTAGGCTAGATCTACTACAAACTACATCGAAATCAAAACCAACGCTCGTGTGTAACTCAGTGAGGGGTAAGCGAAAGAAAGCTGTGGGTTGTTTGGCTGTGTGGGGGATTTACATTGGATTGGAATCGTAAATGGTAGAGCTTAAACCTACTAGGTGAGGATACAACAAAAGAGACTTACGCGTATAACGAATGGCGGCAAAGTGTCTACTTCATTGTCTTTGCTTCTTGGCCAAAAACAAAACAGACAAACGATTTACAACAGAGGGCTCGAGATTGAGATCTGAGCTGATTTTTGGATCTGATCTGGCTGATCTGGCTGATCTGAGCTGAGGCTGAGGAGGATGAACTGGACGAAGGCGCTGCTCCTTTTCGTTTTGGCCATCATCGCTATTATCTGTGGCTGTCCGATACCAAAAACTCCAGTCGCACTTTATACTTTTGTAAGCATTTTCGTTTTTCGTATGTGTTTTTATATATTTTTTTTTTTGTTTTTTTGGCATGCAGTCGAAATTTGTGTATTCACCACCAACACGTCAATCAATCAGTCAATCAGTACACCACCGAAAGTCCACATACGTAATAGGTAACTTCTGCCATCCATACCAACTCCGTTGATTATTTTCTCTGTGTAGCCTGGCGTTTGTTAGGAAAAGTGGCTTGTTTCTGTTTTCACAATGGTTTTAGTTACAATTTGGACTGTTGCTGGTTTTTTGGGATTTGGGTTGGTTGGTTTTGTTGTTGGTTGGATTTATATATATTTATGTACATATATATTTATACGTTTTTGCGGGGATATTTTTGGTACGGTCAGTTTGTTTTTTCGGATATACAAAATACAAGTATATATGAGAGTTATGACAACAACAGACAGTATTAATTTTTGTTTTGTTTTTGGAGTAGACATACAAACAGGGTAGAAAGGCGCAGAAAGAAAAAAAGTAAAAGTAAAAAGAAATTACAGCATTAGATACAAATTATTTCAAGTGTGATCGTCTAATTGGAATTTTTCTCGGGTGGCTTGTAGCAATGCACAAACAAAGCCAAAATGAAGCACTTGATGCTGTCGATGGTGTGTGGTCCTGGTGTAAATGTGGATGAGAGTGAGTGTTTGCTTTGGTTAGTTCGATCTTCAGATGAGCTACCGACCACAAGATGATACAAAAGACCAAACTCCTTGCAGGTTCTTATAATGATATGTTTACTTTTAAACGGCAAGCATTTAACTAACTTAGGGCAAGTCTTTTTGTTTTTCAGTTTTTGGAATACACGCAATTTATTATTCCCTTCATAGGTTTAACAAATAAGTCGAAACAACTATCATATACTAATAGAGTTTATATTTTTAAGTAATAGCGTATACGCATAGCTTGGTATAAGCCCATCTGCTTCATACACAAATCAATAAATTAGCCTTTAATTTAAGCCCAGTAGATAAGTAGTTTAGATTTAGCTTATAGTAATTACAAAGAAAGCAATAATAATAATAATTTTTAAATACACACGCAAACTAATAACTACGCCTAAACTCGCTTTCGAACACAATGAGAAACTGGCTGATCCAACATGCATACTTGAGGAAAATGCTACTGAGCCACAATAATCGTGATTTGCATAATGTATGAGGGTATATGAAATGATATCGTACATGCATTTGACTTTTGTTTTACTTTTTATATACATAACTATATAGAGGAAACATTGTTTTTGTTGTTTTTGCTGCTGTTGCTGCCGCTGCTGCAAGTGTTGCTTTTGCTATTTTGCATGTGAAATTGCTGATTAATTAAAAAGCCGGCTACTCCTGAGCACCTAAGGCATCGATAGGCAGTGAGAGCTTGTTGGGAGGCACCTTTCACTAGCCAACTATGTGTTAAGTCAACGACCCAAACCCAAAGGCAAAAGCTGCAGGGTCTTGAACAAAATCTGTATTCTAGGGTGCGGAATATCGAACATACTGTTGAGATTTGTGAGGTGTGTTAACCATTCTTGAACTGGAGATTGGACTTATTTATTGTTGGAAAAAACTCATCTTCATAAAGCTCATGTTGCTATGGCAAGAAGTGGCCTTAAATCTTTTCGAAAAAAAAAGACAAAAACGAAATAGAAAGTACAACGAAATGCATATGAGAAATAAACTAAAGAATTTGGTGTAACAGTTTGGAAACAAAAATGAAATTCTCAACAAATAATCAACAATGTAAAATTATTTATCGAACCGATTTCTTCAAAACGAAATTGTATTTAATTTGCAGATATAATCTACAAGAATAAATTGTTTTTCCTGTTCTTAAATTGAATTATTTAAATCCTGTTAAGGAACTAAATATAATTTTCTCATGAAAAAATTCTAAATTTTCCGTTCATGAACTACAGCTGACAAAATAAAGGACAAACAACAAGGGCAGAGAACAAATTTCCTTTCTTAGGCACGGGACGCTTACATGATCGATTTTCTTCCGTATTTATATATGCATGTAACTGTAGTATATATATGTATATAGTGTATATATGCCGTGGGTTAATTGTATGTTTAAATAAATATATATGCACGTAACTATGTATATTAACGTATACGGTTAATATCGGATTCGTATGCGGTTGAATTTGTTTTTTGTTTTGATTTGATTTCATTAACTGTAACGAAGATGATGATTTTTTGTAGTTGTTGTGGTTCTTTGTTGTTGTTTCGTAAACGTTATCGAAGGCATATTAAACGGTAATCAGTAGATATTCATATATATAAATGTATGTATCTGTATTATCAGTAGTATTATAATAATTCACTTGAACCAACCCAAAAATGTTGATTTGAGAGTGCGTACCTTGCCACTATCACTGTCGCCGCCAAAACTGGAAGTGGGCGTGGTGTTCTCGCCCTGATCCCTTCCGATCGCCCGACCACCGGAGCCTCCAGTCGAGGCACTACTGTACCGCCGAGACACTCCACTGCCCGACGAATTCGACGCCGGCGAGTGGCCACTGCGCCGATGGTTCTGGTACTGGTGGTGCTGATGATACGATGCACCCGTTCCATTTCCATTTCCGCTCAGCTGCAGGTCCTTGCGCAGCGTGGAGCTCAACTGGGCGGCAATGGAGGTGGCATTGGTGTTCGGATTACCCTTCATGCCGTCTGGCGACTGTTGGGCACGCGACAGCGAGTCCAGATGACGCACCCTCGAGCTGATCGTATCCCGCTTCAGCTTGGGCAGCGGCGAGTTCTGGAGCACACGCGGGGACGGAGTCGTTGCGGCCATCGGCTGGCTGCGATTGCCAGTCGAGCCGGATGAGTAGGGTGTGGTGGCCAGCGGTATCGACGACGAGGTCGAGCTGCGGCTCGTGTTCGTGCTCAGCGAATGATTGGAGGCGGACGTCTCGGCTCTCCTCAAGCTCTGCAAGTTACCGGTGCTCCTGCTCAGCGAGGATTTGCTACCGTACGACGTGCTGCTCGAATTGTGCGCCGACGGCGGTGATCTTCCCGCCGTCGAAGGTCTTCCCGTCGGCGGTTTGCCAGAGAAGTAAGCAGCCGCCTTGCTGCCCGGCAGCGGAATCTTGCTGGGCTTGCTGGCACTCCCGAACTTTCGGAACGCATTCTGTCGCGGCGGCGGAGTGACGCCCTCGAACGGACTCACACCGCCCACACTGATGCTCATCACGCGGGCGGCAATGCTGCTGGGCGTACTGCTGCCCACCGGCAACGGACTCGCATTGATCATCGTCTTGCTCAGCGGGGAAACGGTGCTGTTGTTCGGCGTTCGCGGTGGCTGATTCTCGTGCTCGTGCGCCGACTCTGTGCTGCTGCTGTGCTGCTGCAGTTCGTCCATGGCCAGCGGCACCATCGCCTTCATGCTGGGCGTACTGATCTGCGTGACGGGCGGGGCGGGCATGGCCGTCGAGGCGGAGTCCACGGAATCGGAAACGCCACGACGACTCAGCATCAATGTGGTGGAAGCCGAGGAGCGATTCGTTTCGTAGTCATGCTGCGACGAGTGCAGATACGAGTTGGTGGTGCTGTTGCTCGATTGAAGGCGCGATTCCACCAGACGCAACTGCGCCTTGGTGCCCTCCAGCTCGATGCTCTTCTCCTCCAGCTGGTAGCGCAGGTGCTCGAACTCCTCGCTGCTCTTGTCCAGCCGCTTGGCCAGCAGCGTCTTGGACTTGCTGGACGAGTCCAGCTTCTGGGCGAGCACCTGGTTCTGCACGGTCAGCGTGAGCAGATGGCGCTGCAGCTCCACCACATTCGTCTCGAGGAGAATGGCCGCAAAGCGCTTGGAGTCGGCCGTGCGGCATTTGGAGTTGCGCGAACCGGGAGTGCTCACGATGCCATCAAGGCGTCCCAAGGATTGCTGCTGCTGCTGTTGCTGCTGCTGCTGTTTCCTTAATGTTGTATCACTGCCTGAGCTTTGATGGAATGCTTCCTGCGCTGGCTGATCGAGAACGACCGGCTGGAATGTGTTGTTGTTGTTGCTGATGATGATGTTGCTGCTGGGGCGACTGCCATTGGAGAGCACCGTGGTTGCTGAGGATAGAAAGTTGCGTTGACTGGAGTAATCCGACTGGCTGCCACTGAAAATCAAGTTAACAAATATAATTAATAAATTGTTTACAGCATTTAAATATTAAATTTCCTTACCTGGAAGAGCTCTTGCTTTGCTGTTGTTGTTGCTGCTGCTGCTGCAACTGCTGCACCCGCGAGCTCAGCTCCAGCTTCTGGGCCATCGCCAGCTTCAGCTGCTCCTCGAGATCCTTTTTCACGCCCACCAGCTCCTCCACCTGGTCGCTCATCTTGGCCGCCTTGATGCGACCGGTCAGCGTCTCCGCCTCCATTTCGGCCAGCTTGTCCAGCAGGCGATCGCGCTCCTTGCGGAGCTGCTTGATGTCCTCGCGATTCAGTCGTTCCACCTGCTCCCTAAACTGCTGCGGTGTCATTGCGTCCTTGTTCGCTCCCTTCGAGCCCTCGCCTCCTGTCTTCTGGGCATCCCCCTGCTGCCGCTCGTAGCTCTGCAACTGCTCCACCTCCTCGCGTAAGCGATTCGACTTGCGGTGGATGACGTCCAGCAGATTGAGCAGCTCATCATCCGATTCCGGACAGCTCAAACGATTCGCTGCTATGGCCACCTGTTTAAAGAATAATTAAATATTATACTAAAATCCTTCATAAATATATTCATGATTCAAGCTCACCGTCATAGCACCGTTGGTGGAGGAGGCACTGTGGCCCTCCTTGGAGGAACTGGTCTCCGTTGAGAAGCCGGAGTCTTGCACAACGCTCCCGTTGTTGTTCTCTCCGCTCTTTGGCTCTTTCTTGCCGCTGTGCGAGTTGCTGCGGCTGCGTGTCAGCGACGAGGACGAAGCCTCCGCTCCGGAGGAAGGAGCAGCTGCCGACGCTGACGACGTGGACGGTTCCTTATGCGATAGTTTGCGCTTCATGCGTATGCCGGGCTCCCATTCGCGCCTGCTGGAAAAGTGAAATAACACAAGTGTATAAGAAATGGAAATCTAAATGTATATGCAGGGAAAATGTTTTTAGGGTTAACCAGTCTATATTTTCTTCATGTAATATTTTTTAAGTTTTCAAAATTATTGGATTTAATGTTTATGAATATGGTTTCTAGAAATCGTCTCTCCTTGAATTGATTTTAAATTAACTCTTTTTTTTAAATTGCCTTTGAATTTGTATATCTTGTAAATGTAGATTTATTATACACTTTTTTTGGGAAACTCCAAACTTACCTTGTGGCTAACGAAGAGCTGCCGCCACCCACCGAATGACTCCCGCCAATTGCGCCCACCGAGGACGTGGGCGTGGAGGGCGTGGCGGACATGGAGGCCATCTTGTGCTTGAGGTCGGGGAAGGTTTCGATGACCAGGTCCCGGAACTCGAGCAGGGCGCCCACCTCGTGCTGCAGCTCCTGCAGCGACTTGGTCTGCTCGCTGTGGATATGATGGCTGCCGTAGCTGTTGCTGTAGGGCGTGTGGTGGCTCAGGTGGTGGTGGTGGTGCAGGTGGTGCGGGTACGTGGCCCCCACCACGACGGTGGCCGTAGGCGAGGCGGAAACGGCTCCCACAACGCTCCCCGCACCCGCCATCAAATGTGGGTGGTGGTGGGCGCTGGAGCTGCTCATCGGCAGGCACTCCATGGCCCCGCTGGCCAGGTCAGTGGTGCGCAGTCTTCCTCCACCGCCGAGATGGTGGCCGCTGTTTCCGCCGCTTCCGTTGACGCCCCCGATTCCGATACCGATACCCAGGCCGATTCCGATTCCGTTCCCGATCCCGTTGCTCTGACTGAGGTGGCCGATGCAGCTTCCGTCCGTTTTGCTGGTGCCATGCGTTGCGGAAAGTTCGAAGCCTTCATTCTGCAATCAATGAAAGGGTTTATTAATTTAACAATTAATTGAAAGGCTTACTTAAAAGAATGATATTCCAAAGCTTACTATAAAACAATTTAAATGAATTTAATAGATATTCTTACTTTGCCCTACTTCTACCAACAGAAACCCTCTCATAAAAACAAGTAATGAATGTAAATTGAGTTTTTCCATTAACAAACGTTCATGGTTAACCAGTCATCTTTCGTGACCTCCATTTGTTCGATCAAATTTCCCAACCAATTTGAAGGCAATGAATTACTAGATACGCTTTTGCCCCTTTATAAATCCATTAATAAAATTAAAATATTGTTAAGAGATCTTATTGAATTTGTATAAACATTTCCATTGTTGTGAAATATTCTACAGCTGATTAATTAACATAAAACCTTTCCCAACCTTTGAAAGGTTTTTACCCCAGCGCAAATACCTTTTCATTTTACCAATACTTGGTGATCACGCACAGGGCGAGAAAATCCCATGAATCATTGTTGTCTTTCGGATTTCGATGGTCAAGTGCGATGGGCTGCACTTTCAAGCAAACCTAAAGATCGGCTTACATCGCCATAAGTCATTATCAAGGGGCTTTACGCAAGGGAGCGATAATTACGGGAGAGAGAAAACCCAACATGGCGTTACTTTAAGTAAATTGAATTGATCACCATGGTGGGGCAATCGCTGCTGCTGCTGTTGCTGCTGCTGCTGCACAAAAAGCAACCCAAGATGTTCGGGAGCAGTGCGAACGATTAGTGAATGACATACAAATTATGATTGATGAATTGCTGAGCTCGGGCGAGCGATCGCCCGCTGGCCGGCGACCCGTGAAGCAAACTGTAGCAAAAGTGCAGCCTAATGCACTCGCAGCATGCACGCCAGCAACATGCAACCAACAACCAACAACTAGCAACTAGCAACGAGCAATAAGCAACCAGCAACATATGTAGCTGCAACACCAATCGATGCAGCAATTTGTGACAATCATGCTGTGTGCTTTTGGCCCAGACCATGACTATTCATCGCCGGCCAAGTCAACGGACTGATCCGACTCGACTGCAAACTAGAACAGGCCGCAGATGGCCGGGCCAAGTAAAAGTAGTTTTTCTCTTTATTTCGTCTATTTATTTCTATTTCCCTCTTTCAGCATCAGCAGCTGCTCTAAAAACTAAACGGGAAACTACACAGGAATAAACGAATTGCTTTCTAAATGGGGTATTCAAAAAAAAAAGATTAAATATAATTAAATAGATAAGAAAACGGAATGCATCACAAATAATTCTAAATCTTTAAATAAAGAAGAATACTTTTTAATTGCTGCTAAGAATAGGTGCTCACATGCAAGACTAATGTATTTATTATGGGATTTGGTAATCATTTAAGTCGCTGATTTGTAGCATTGTAAATATAATTATATTTAAAGAACATCAAATATAAATAAATAGATAAGAAAAAGGAATGCAAAACACAAGAAAAAAACTTAACTGCTTCTAATAATAATTGCTTACATTCAAGCCAAATGCATTTATGGGATTTGGCAATCACTTCAATCATAGATTTATTTGAATATTCTTGCAGTGCACTATTGTTGGAGGATTTGTTTGTCAACCGGGTGGAAGAGAAGCTTTCACTGGACGAGAATGTTTCTCGGGCGGCGGCAACTCAATTGATTGGCGAAATACTTTCACATGCAATAAACATAAATTTGCCTGGCAGCCGTTTTGTCGGCCGGCTTTACCACTGGCTATTGATCAAACAAACGACGGCGAGTGCCACGGCGAAGATATGTGGCAATATGGCAATAGAGGGGCCAAAACCAGGCAACTGGGTTGTCGGTCTTCTGTTGTTCTCGGTCGCCAAGAAAAAGTAAAAGAGGTAACCAGTAAAGAAAAAATGGAAAACTCTACTGATTGCATGCTGACTGCCAATGGAGTTTTGTCGGCGGTCGGAAATATTGGTCAGAGACTAATGGCAAAATCATTGCAAATGAAGCATGAAAATTGGCCCACATTCACATGACATGGCTGGGCCATTCCATTATTTAATAGCTAATTAACAGAGTGAGGGGCCCAGGAAGCATAGTTCATAATTCCATTGCTTGCGTAATCGTACTGCACTTTTCCTCCCATTTTATGTTTTTTTTTTCTTCTTGGATTTTTTGTGACTATTTCATTTGGTTTTCTTTTGGCCGACTTGCCTGTGGAGCGTGGCGAACATCAAAGCATGGGAAGTGCCGGAGAAGTCACATTGAAGATCGTGTAATTATATAGCAAAATCCATTGTCAACCACGAAATTGAAACCGAACAATTCAAACGTCGACTGACTGTCACTCAAAGACAGCTACAAAACAAAAATATGGAGAAAAACTAAGCTCAATGTCGGTGGCCTGTCATCCGTTGGAGCATCGCGATTGGCTTTATGATTTCTGAGTTTGTGTGTTTCATTGCTCAATTAACTTGTGGATCTGGCCTTTTGGCCCACGGCCTGGAAAATGGCCGGCCAAATTACGGGCAAACAATAACACAGTTTCCGAAGCCATCACATTCACTGTTTTTTTTTCCTTTGCGGAGACACATATGCAAATCACAATTCACAACTCACTCGCATCCAGCTATAGAGTATAGACTATAGGCACAAGTGCCTCCTTGTCACTCGAACGAGGCGTCTGTCACTCGTTTTCAAGTTGTATCTTCTCAAGCTGCGCCTAGTGGCTGCTGATATGGTTTGCTCTTCAACAGGCGTGGAACAGTGGGAAAAATCTACAATCAAGGTTTGGCTAAACATGAACATAAAACTAATAAATAATAAACAGTAACAATTAAAGGGGAATATTTACCACAATCATTTAAATTATCTGTAAAAGGTATTTTAAAGCAAGCTTTAAAGTTTAAACTTTTCAATCTCTTATCAACTTCACTTGTTCTTCATAAAACTTAATGATATAATTTAAACTCCTCTTAATTAATTTTCAATCACCATTTTTAGTTAACTAAACCACTGTTTCGTTTCGTCCCCAATCAACTCCACATCATCATCAGCATCGGTGGGATCGTCGTCGTGGGCGCAAACTACCATCTCCGTACAGCTGCCACGCATTGTTGATTCCCCAAGTTTTATTACTCGCCATGGCAATTGGGTTGATCATCATCTCGGCATCGTTGTGCGGCATGACGGACGGAAAAACGCACTTGGCCTGGGCGACAGAGCCGCTCAATTAGGCTGCCCACCACTCGAGTCGACTGCCGCAACACTAGCCATCAGGGTTTTCAGTTTTGGGTTTTTCAGTTTAGTTGTTTGGGCTTGTCGGGTGATTAGAAACAACCAACACAAAACGCCTAGCACTTCCCACCAAACGGAAAACGGCAAACAGCAGGAGATCATCCTACCAGAATACAAACAGTTGCTAGTTCCTCAGGATGCCAGACACCGAAGCAATTAGCAGGCGAATTCGCCATAAATCCAAGCAGCAACTGTTTCATAAATCAAAGAACGTTTGCCATTCGCGAAAAGTCGTACTTTGATTTAAGGCTCAAATTAATCAGGCAAACAATGACAAATGCGAATAAGCTTGTTTACCGAATGCAACCGCCTTTGTTTCTATTATTTTCTTTAGGTTCTCGAGTGGTTAGCACTTGTTGTTTGATCGATTTTTACGCCATTCTTTTGCACAATCACTTCCTACCCTATGCACATATTTTTAGCTTTTTACATTACGTATACGTAACATTTTGTAAGCTTCAGCTAAATGCAATTTCACTGCAAATGCTCATGTTTGGTTTTAATTTGATTTTACCTAAACATTTATATTTTTAGGAAAGGTTTTGCAGGCTGGAAATAACATTTTATATCCCATGAAACACGTGTTTGAAGTTTTATCTGATTACTGAGTCAAAAATTCGCCAATAAACAAACGATCGTAAATTTTATGTATTCCAGCCAAACAAAAATAGCAATGAAAATCAAAGGCTTCACTAAATCCGATTTTTGTGGCTCCCTGTTTGTTTGGATATCATATATTTTGGTAGCTAAGGAAATATAATTTCACGCAGAGAAATTAGCTAGATATTCATATGTAAAATATTTTAAAAATATTTTTACGAGCACAGTAACTCATGTATTTCGTTGCAGTGCCCGGAATAAATTAATTTTCCCTTGGGGTGTTAGTTTGATCGTTTTAATTGAAGTTTGCCATGCAACAGCAGCTGTATTTTTGAAGTGCAACCTTCTCCGCCCCGTTCCTTCAACACAATTAGTGATGGGTTTGCATAACAGTCGAATGGCCGAATGTGTGTGCACTTATGGGGATGTACCAGACTGTAATTATGCATGTAAAGCCCTGTTTGGCGAGCCGAAACTGTTTGGAACCCGACGGTTTATTACGGATTGGGAGCGCTTATTAATTATCCGATCCCACTCCCCAAAACATGACTTATGGCGCTTTTTTTCAACAGTCATCGCCCGGCACATTGACTACGCCAATTTATATATATATATTTTCAATTCCAATTCCTATTCAATTTCAATGCAGTTACATGTTGGCGTCTGGGTTTGGCCGCCAGCCTCTGACGCAACTTGGAACTATACAAAAACACAAAAAACAAGAAAAGAAAAGAAAAGCAAAACAGGGTCTTTGGGGTCTTGGGGCATTGTGCGTTTGCCGATCGGCGTTTTGCAGCAGCACTGACAGCCTTTCGGTTGAAAATTAAAAGACAATTGCAGTTGCCTTGCCTGATATCTAAGCATCTGCAGAGCCACGCCAAAATATACAAAAGAAAAAACCCCAGAAATAAAACCCACCATCGCCAAAAGTCATTTCCCATTAGCCGTCATTAGTTCGCCCCTTAATGTTTTTGGGTGTATGTATTTTTTATATTTTTTAAATTTTTTTTATCACAAAACTTAAAAGTGTCGGACTTTGTTGGCTTTGCAACACATTTCCCCCATATGTGGCAATGGAAATAATTGTCTAATGTGTTCGGTGCTTGGCGGCTTT